AATAAAGCCATCACAAGTCAGAACTAACATGTCAGCAACTAACAACAACAACAATACCATTTTTCTTATATTTGCATGTAAACAGTTAAGATTTTATAGCCAAGGATTTTCTTTTTTGTCTTCTTGAACAAAACCAAACACCAATCCTGGGAGAACCCACTTTGAATCCTTTTCTGTTCTTCTGCTTGGGGACTAGAAATGGTTTCACAATGAGTGGCAGCCACTCCAGAACCTAACTCTTGGCCCCAGCAGGCAGGAGTTAATTCATCACGGACTTGCCAGAGAGACACAGGGAAATGAACAGAGGAGACTCTCCTCGCCGCAGTTCAACTGGTAAGTATAAACCAATAAGCTGGCACTAATTAAGAGCTAATGGCCTTACAATGGAGCGTTGCAAAAGGATAACGACCCTCCGGCTGCAGCATAAATATCAAGGCATTTGGGACAGATCCAAGACATATATTTTCAGAGCACATTAGGTCCTGTTACAGCCTTCTTCATCACAGCTCTGCTAAGAAAAACGAGAGGATCCAAGATAGGCGGAAAAAACAGCTGCATCTTCTAAGGCTGCCTACTGGTCCTCTAGTCAGCGGGCCTCAGGGTGACTGTTAGGAAAGACTTGCTTTTCCAAAAATCTCAAATGTTCGTGTGTACAAGGATCACTCGGGGAGCTTGTTAAGATACAACTTCTCTGGGTCTCACTCCTAACTAAAAACAAAAAACAAAGGCACTGTCATTGAGCCAATTTCGACACATAGTGGTCTTATTTAGGATTCTTGAGACTAAATCTTTACTGGAGCAGTTAAGACTCCTCTTTTCTCCACGGAGCAGATAGTGGGTGTGAACCACCAACCTTGCAGCGAGCAGTCCAGTGCTTATCCTACAGCGCCACCAGAGGGTCTGATTTTGGTAGCCCTGGAGTCTGTACTTTTACAAGCTCCCCAGTTGATTCGGATGCTAGTCCTCAGATAACACTTTAGAAAATGCTTCTCTTGAAACTGCCACTGCTTGCCTGTTAGACCCCAGTGACAAAGTTTTACAGAATGAAGGAGGAAGTAGGTTAAGACTCTTTGCTTCCCGTCAAACCACCAGTCAGTTCTTTCCCATATAAATATGGTCTATGCTCTGGTAGCGTAGTGGTTACAAATCGGGCTGCAAACCGTAAGGTCAGCAGTTCAAAACGACTAGATGCTCCATGGGAGAAAGATGAGGTTTTCTGCTTCCATAAAGATTTACAGCCTCCGAAACCCTGTACAGGGTTACTAAGGGTCTGAACTGACTCCATGGCACATAACAACAACAATGCTTGTCCCAAAAGGTGGCCTTTCTAGCCTGTCCCTGTTGGGTGTCTTTGAATTTCAACAAATCTACCCTTACTAGGAACAAGATCCCAGGGAATGAGAACCATGGGTCTAAAGGAAAAGAGAATGAATCCCATCTGAAAGGTACATACCAGGCCCACAATGCTGTCATATACCACAAGTCATGTGATCACTACTGCACTCTTTCAGGGGAGACAAATTCTTATGTCTGTTTTAAAGTCCTGGAGTAGTATCTTGCTTCCTCTGGTTACCATGACATCAGGAAGGGGAGTCAAAAATAGTCACTATTACAATTAAGGAGCTCTGGTAGCATAGTGGCAATGAATCAGGCTGCTAATCTCACGCTCAGCAGTTTGAAACTACCAGTGGTTCCATGGGAGAAAGATGAGGCTTTCTGTTCCCATAAAGAATTACAGCCTCAGAAACCCTATCCAAGGTCGCTATGAGTCAAAACCAACTTTATGCACGTGACCACCACCATCTTACAATTAAGGTAAGCAGGGTAGGCAAACCAGACCACTAACTTTAACTTGACCTACCTTGAATAGGATTTCGTTTTACTTGTATCCACAGTCAAAGCTCATAGAAGTAGTAGTCAAGAAATCAAATAACATGTTACACTGAGCAAATTTGATACAAAAGATTTTAAAGTGTCCAAAAGCAAAGATGTTACCTTGAGGACTAAGGTGCACTTGACCCAGGTCACTAAGTTGCCTCATATGCATGCAATAAAACTGGACAACGAATAAGGAAAACAGAAGAATTGCTGCCTTTGAATTATGGTGTTGGTGAAGAATATTGAATATGTCATGAACTGCCAGAACAAACAAATCTGTCTTGGAAGAAATACAGCCAGATTGTTCCTTAGAAGCCAGGGTGGCGAGACTTTGTCTCATGTACTTTGGACATGTTGTCCCCGGAAAAGGACCTCATGCTGGGTAACGTGGAGGGTCAGCATTAAAGAGGAAGATCCCCAATGAGATGGATTGGCACCGTGCCTGCAACAACGGGCTCAAACACGGGAACAGTTGTGAGGATGACCCAGGACCTTGCAGTGTTTTTTTTGTTTTGTTTTATACAGAGTCACTATGAATCAGAACCCATTGGCTGACACGTAACAATAGTACCTTGAGCAGACTTAATATCTATCTGCTGGTAGAACTCGAGCTACTTGTCAGGATCCTCAAATACTGCTGCAAAAGAATTGATGGCTCAGATTATAAAAATAGATAGGAAGTTTGTATGATAAATGCAAGCAGAGTATGAGAACAGGAGAGAAACAACCACCGTATCATCTGGGAAAATGAAAATTCTTGGCAAGACTTCACAACAGCCTGATTCAAAATTTCATAATGAAATTATGTCTCTGATCAAAGCCCGAATGAGCTCATGGACTGATTTTTACCATTTGTGTTTATTCTGGTTTGCACCAAGCTGAGGCATCAGAAATACATTAACCTATTTTCTTTCTGGGAGTGGGCTATTATACCTTTGTTTGGGGGGACAAAAGTGACAGTGTGAAGCTGAAAGGGGCATCTTTTGTTTCTCATTGAGCATGAAGTTGTTTCCAACTGGTTTTGGTGGACTCCCTAGGACACCATGTCAGAAGCTGGGACTTGCTAGAGAAGTTGTGCTTAATCCCATGATACTTGACCTTAGGGCCATAAAAGTGAGGCTCAAGGCAGAGAAGGTATTTCCAGCTCATGTCTAGGACATGGACTGTTTTTGCTGTAGAAAGAATGTTTTGGGGCTTGTTTGTTTCAGACTCAGAGAAATAAAGACTCAATCATCCCTCCCTCAATTAGAGTACCTCACTTTATAACAAGTTGTTTATTTTTAAGGAATGAGCTTACACCACAGGCCTGAATCCATCCTTTTTCCTGTCTAACCATTTCGTCTTTGGCCTATCCTGAGGGCACAGTGTTGGATATTTCCCGACAACTTGAGATACCAACAAAGAAGGCAGATCTTCTTGGTTAAAACGCTGGCACCTAGAGATTTTAACTTGCTAGTAGGAAGTTAGTAAGTTAGTAAGTTAGTAGGAAGCTAGTAAGAACTTCTGATCTTAATACCCTCATTCCGCATTAGGGCAAGAAACATTTCCATCTATTCAATTCTTCATTCAATACATACTTATTGCATCCTTACTACATTTCAGGTGCTGTTCTAAGACTTGGGGACACAGCTTGGTGAACAAACTTACAAGGTTCTGTCCTCAAAGAGCATACATTCTAGTTTGGGGGAAGCAGCCTATAAACTTGCAAATAAAATGGACTCAACCAGTGATATGATTTAGTGAATAAAACAGAATAATGTAAAAGAATAATGTAGTTACAGAACAATGGAGGGAACTGAGGAGTGACTGAATAAACAGATTATTAGTCAGAAAAGACTTTTTCTAGTAGGAAGGGTTGCCAGAAAAAATTCAGGATGCCCAGTTAAATTTGAATTTCAGATACAAAACAATTTTTTTTTTTAAATTTAGTCTAAGTATGTCCCCTGCAATATTTAGCAGTCCTGGTGCAATGGTGTAGGATAAGCATGGGACAGCAAGTTCATTTGAACCACAGGGTAGGCAGTTCAAACTCACCAGCCCCTCCTCAGAAACCCTATACAGGGTCGTTATGAGTCAGAACCCACTCTATGGCACTTAAAAACAAAAGCATACTAAAAAAATTATTTGTTGTTTATCTTAAATTCAAATTTAAGTGGATATTATACATTTTTTTTGCCGATCTTGCAGTTCAAACCGACCTTGCAGTTGTTGTGTTAAGTGCCGTCGAGTCGATTCCGACCCATAGCGACCCTGTATAGGGTTTCCAAGGAGCAGCTGGTGAGCTTGAACCACTGACTTTGCAGTTCAAACGACTTTGCAGTCTGACGATTTAGCCCGCAGCGCCACACCAGGACATTTAAGCTGAGACTTAGATGACCAGAAGCAACCAGCTAAGCAAAGGTTCAGAGGAAGAGTGATTCAGGCAGAAGGAACATGATGTGTAAATGTTGGAATAGCCAGCGTCAAGAGGCTACAAATAAGGCCAGATAAACAGGCAGGGCCAGATCATGCAGAATTCTGTAGGGATGGCAAAGAGTTTACATTCCTGCGTTCGTTTCTTCGTTCCTTCCTCCCTCCGTCTCTCATTCCCTCTCTTTACTTCTTTCTTTTCTTAATTCTAAGAATGGGGATTTCAAGAAGAGTGACAGAATTTGATTGCTATTTGGCTGCTGTGTGGTCGTCAGTTTTAGAGGGGCTATAAAACAAATTCCGTAGATAATTAAGCTTAAGCTGCTGTCATTGACCTGGGAAGAAGCTTCTTTGTTCGAGGGTGGACCCAAATAGGAGCTCGGGGCCGCGCAGACTGGGTAACTAGGCGGTTGCTATAGAGGGGCAGCTTGGCGGTTGCTAGGGAGGAGAGGGGCGGGGCCCTACGCTAGGCGAAGTCTCTGCAGCTGGGGCGGGGGCGGAGCCAGGAGTGCGGCGGCGCTCTCTGCGCGTTTGCAGGATGTCACGCCGGGAAAGAGGTGGTGCGAGCGGAAGTGACGTCGTTCTGGCACACGTGGTCTAAGTTGGTTCTCGCGGGTCGCTTCGGCTGGGCCTGGGGAGTTCCGATCTCGTTTACCCGACGTAAGCCAGACCCAACGCTCAGACCGAGCTCCGGCCCAGGTTCCGCCGGCAAGATGGTGAAGCCAAAGTACAAAGGACGGAACACCATCAACCCCTCCAAGGCCAGCACTAACCCCGGTACTGGCGGCGGGGCGCGCAGAGGGTGGAGTTTGCAGGAAACCTGGAGGGTGGGCTTTGAGGAGGCCGAGGGGGAGGAGGGAGATCTGTGGCGTTGCTTGGACGACTCTTGAGCTGAGTGGCTATCGGGTGTGAGAAGGGAAAGGAGACAACATTTGTAGTGGGGTCTTCACCTGGAGGCTGACGTCTTGCTCGCCTGGCAGTCTAAAAGCTGGGAAAGTGAACACCTAGGCCTGGCAGCCCGTGGGGCCTCTCGAACTAGGAAATCAAAAGACTGGAAAGGGAAAGAGGCAGTTAAAACTAACCCTCATGTGTTCCTCTGTTGGGTCAGATGTTGAAGCCCCACCCCCATAGATTTCGGTCTTACATTATTCCATCTTGACAGTTTGGGAAATTTGCTGCGTAGTGGGCCTTTTACACTCGACGGCACCTCACATCTAGTGAAGTATATAAAAAACTGCGGAACAAATAGGACAATTTCAGTAAAGATGTTTTGAGGGATGTGCATCAGAGTTTCGGTGAGGGTCCACTTAAAGGATGAGCAAAATCTCTTTTGGGGGGAGTTAATAAAACTTTGTTTTTAAATGTCATGTAAAGTTTTTAATGACTTTAATGCATGTTGAATGTTTTCCCTGGTTGATAAATTGTTCCATTTTTGTAGAAAGACTCCGATTGTTAGTGTCCTGTTCATTCTGACTCATGGCGACCCCTTGTGTGCAGAGTAGAACTGCTTTACAGTATTTTCAAGGTGCTGGACTCAGACTGCCATGCCTGTCTGATGAGACTGTTCTGAGTGCATTCATATTGCCAAACTTTTGACTGGTAGTTGAGTACTTACATGTTTGTGCCACCCTGGAACTCCCTTGGAAAGGCCTTACCCCCGGAGTCCTGGTGTGGCACTGTGGGCTAATGCCTCAGACTGCAAAGTTGTTTGAACTGCAAGGTCAGTGGTTCAAGCTCACCAGCTGCTCCTTGGAAACCCTATGCAGGGTAGCTATGGGTTGGAATCAACCTGATGGCACTTAACAGCAACAACCCACTACCCTTGAGCTGATTCCAATTCATAATAACCCTATGTACAGTTTTTGAGATTGTAGATCTTTATGGGAGCAGAAAGCTTCATCCCTCTACCATGGAGTGCTGGTTAGTTTGAACTGCCACCCTTGAGGTTATGAGTTCAGTGATTGTTCTACAGTACTAGCAAGGTTCCTTGTGAAAGATTCTTTTGTTAAGTGCCGTCAAGTCGGTTCTGACTCATAGCAGCACTGTGTGTAGTGTTTCCGAGGAGTGGCTGGTGGGTTTGAACTGCTGACCTTGCAGTCAAAGGCTCTTCAAGATCCTAAATTTATAGATGAGACTAAACCAAAACAGAAGGGTCTTGTTGCAGTGACACAGTTGGTGAGTCATTGAGCTACTAGTCTTTCTGTCATTTCAGCCTGCTTAACTATATCACTTTGGAGTCCTGGTGTAGCGCTGTGGGTTAATGCGCTGGACTGCAAAGTCATTTGAACTGCAAGGTCTGTGGTTCAAGCTCACCAGCTGCTCCTTGGAAACCCTATACAGGGTCGCTATGGGTCAGAACCAACTCGATGGCACTTAACAAAAACAACAACTACATCACTTTAGGAGTAAGTAGACAGGGCTTGAAGGGATCCCCAAATTATAAAACTAGGCTGATATTACCTGTTTATAGCTTTCCTCTCTTTCGAAGATGTAAGGCAATAATTACTACGTGTTTTATAGTTGATTAAACTAAAATCAGACATTTCCCACACTTAAGTACCAAAATTGTAGTCTGTGTGGTGCCTCATAAGGAACTCTGGTAGCATCGTGGTTACGAGTCAGGCTGCTAACCTTAAGGTCAGCAGTTCTAAACTGCCAGCTGTTCGTAAGAGAAAGATGAGACTTTCTGCTCCCATAAAGATTTGTTGTTGTTGTTTTTAAGTGCTGTTGAGTCGATTCTGACCCATAGCGACCCTGTACAGGGTTTCTGAAGAAAGCCTGTAAATCTTTATGGGAACAGAAAGCCTCATCTTTCTCCCACAGAGCGACTAGTTGTTTTGAACTGCTGACCTTAAGGTCCGCAGCCCAATTCGTAACCATTACGCTGCCAGAGCGCCTTCCGTAAAGATTTACAGCCTTGGAAACCCTATACAGGGTCACTGTGAGTTGGAACTGACTCCATGGCACACTGTCACCACCACCACCACGGTGCCTTGTATATACTGAGTCCTCAGTATTTGATAAACTGAGACCCAGATATGTGGTTAAGAGCGTAGGTGGTAACTGACAGTTGTTGTTAAGTACCGTCAAGCCTGTTTAGACTCATGGTAACCCTCTATAAACAGGGGTGGTTGTTGTTAAGTGCTGTCGAATTGATTCCAACTCATAGCGACCCTGTATAGGGTTTCCGAGGAGTGGCTGGTAAGCTTGAACCACTGACCTTGAGGATCAAACCAACTTTGCAATCCAGTTCATTAACCCACAGTGCCACACCAGAACTCCATATAATAAACAGCCTGGGAAACTTTTTTCTGCCTAAATTTATAACTTCATTCGTGGTTCATGCAAAATTATCAATTTAAAAACTAGCCTGCTAGCAACAACAACAACATTTGGTCAAAACTTTAATTAACTCACCCTTAATGTGATGCTGGACTTCTGGAGGGTTGCTGTAGTATCTACACTGGACTGTGAGCCCTAGGTTGCCAGTTCAAATCCACCAGCTACTCCTTGGAAACCCTATACAGGGTCACTATGAGTCGGAATCGACTTGATGGTACTTAACAGCAACTTAAAAATGCAATGGCTGGAATTGCAGTTGCCTTGGCAGGGCCAGACTAGGTGGCTTTGCAGGGCCTTATCTGGCCCAAGGGTCAGATGCTCCCCACCCCTGCTCTATAGGGTTTCTGAGGAGCAGCTGGTGGGTTTGAACTGCCGACCTTTTAGTTAGCAGTGTGGTGCTTATCCTACAGCATGACACCAGGACTTCAGTAACTGACTTGTTAAGTGCTGTCAAGTCTGTTCTGACTCATAGTGACCCAGTATAGGGTTTCCAAGGAGTAGCTGGTAGGTTTGAACTGCTTTCCTGGTGGTTCACAGTCCAGTGCTCATCCACAGCGCCACACCAGGACTCCACAGTAACTGAGTGTTTGGTTTCAAATTCTAGCTCTGCCACTTAGCAAGTTATCTGACCACAGTGCTTTGTTTCTGAGTGAAGAGTGAGGTGATGTAGTCCTCTTTATAAGATTATTATATGAACTAAATGAAACTGCTAGATTGTGGGTCACATGATAGATAACCAGGCCGCTTCAGATCATAATTTTATTGAAGCAAAGTAAGGGGATAGTAGAGAGACTTTGTAGTAAGGTAGCCGCTTGCCTAATCTGAGTGAGCTAGCTAGCACATCTTGAGCAATGATTGTATTTGTGATTGCTGTTTGTCCAGTAGTGTGTTGTCTCCTTCTCCTAGATCGAGTGCAAGGAGCAGGAGGCCAAAACATGAGGGACCGGGCCACAATCCGGCGCCTGAACATGTACAGGCAAAAGGAACGCAGGTGAGTTCTGGCCACTGCTATACCCTCCCTCCTCTTCCCTTCATGCCCTTCGCTCATAACTGAGGGCCGGTAAGCCTTTGATATTCCCACCCCTGCTTTTCGAACTAGAAGTTGTGTATTGTCAGAGAGCTACCCTAAGAATGGTCTGTGGGTATTGTTATCATGAACTGTTCATTTTCATTTAGTGGCTAGTGAAATTGTGATTGTGTCACAATACTCTGAACAGTTAGCGGCCTTGTTCTCCCAGCCTCAGCCTCCACCTGGAGCACAGCCTGTTTCAAATCCTTCAGAGGGAAATTTGATTTTCTTTAACAAAGAATATAAGGCTGTAGTTATGAAAGCAGCCGGAAAACTTGCTCTTTTTATGCCAGACTTTGGATCACAGCATTCTGGCACTTGGGCATACATGGCGTCTCTGGGCTCTGCTGCAGCAGCCTCTACCGCAGGAACTTGCTGAGTGTGGCATTTTATTAGCTGGTCTTAATTTGTTTGCTAATTAGATTCTTCATCCATTCTAAAAGATGTGTTTCAAACACAAGCGTCAATGAACTTAGTCACCTACTTAGTCTGCCTTAGTCACCTACTTTGCAGTTGGTTTTAGAATTTTGCGTTCCAGCATAAATTACCCTCTACTTAAAATTTATTTAAACCAGCCTTCAAATAAATTACCAAAACCAAAAAAAAACCAAACTCAAGTATGTGTTTTTTTTTTTTTTTTCTTTAAAGCAAACAAACAGTAAACAGATTTTTCAACATCAGCATTATTTGTTATTCGTTTAGTTGAAATCATTATGTGCTCTGTTGTCTGTTGCAAGAGGTTAAATGGCTTTTGGGCAATCTGGTTCAAATGTAGAAGTATTTTTTGTTTACTGAAATCTGTATTTCATGATCATTCAAAACCAAAAAAGAAGAAAAGAAAAAGGTCCTTTTGATGGAAAGGGTATTCCATAAAACAAACTTTGCAGTTGCCTTTCTTCTGTTGTCAACCTAAATCTGTTATTTCCTCAATTTAGAAACAGTCGTGGTAAAGTGATTAAGCCCCTGCAGTACCAGTCAACGGTGGCTTCTGGCACAGTGGCAAGAGTGGAGCCGAATATCAAGTGGTTTGGTGAGTGTCATGTCCTGTTATTTTTGCTCGACAAAAAGGCTAGAATGCTCGAGGTGCCTAATAGACAGGACATTTGGGGGAGGGTTTTTTTTTGTTTTTTTTTTTTAGCTTCTGATTTTTTTTCTTTTTTTCTCAAAGGGTAGTTTGGGGTTATATGAGAAAACTAACTGTGGAAAAGTGCTAAAAAAAAAAAAGTGGTTTTGATGAACTTCTTAAGTAATTTCTCTTTTTGACGCAAACTCATGCTTATTGATTATAAGTGACTCCTCTTAACTAGAAGAAAGCAGCCTTAACAATTAGCATTAACAAGGACTCTCCTGTCTGAATCTCTGGCTGCCTAGAGAGATTGCTGAAGGTGCCCTGGTAGTGTAGTGAATTATGAGCTGGCCTGCTAACTATAAGGTCAGCAGTTCATATCCCAGTAGCTCTGCAGAAAAAGGATAAGGCTTTCTGCTCCTGTAAGGATGTGCAGCCTTGGAAACCCTACACAGGGTTGCTGTGAGGCACAACTGACTCCGTGGCACGCTACCATCACCACCACCACCAGCAGAGAGATTGCCGTTTAAGAGGTGGCATTGCAGATAGGTGTGTGCCCTTACCTAGCAAAGGATGTTCATTGACCTCAGGTTCTACTGAAACAGTTTTCTTAGTGGTGGTGTTTATGAGTTGAGGGATAATGAAAGCCTCTTGTGAGTCATTCCCACAAGTGAATAGTGTATATCCAGTGTCTGAGGGGACCAGGGTTTGTGCCTTTGGAAACTTGACCTTCATTTCTGTCGTGGCTTTTGACCTTTCCCTTAACTGCAACTGCTGCTAAGTGTGTGGGCTTTTCCGATGGTGAGACCCATTGTGTGCCTGTTGCTGACCTTTGTATTTGGAGACCGATGATAGCTCTCTCTGCGTATCTTTTACATCTTTTTGTGGATGTGATACCCCCTAGGATACTGCAACACAGAAAAGTGCCCAAGAAAATCCCTTAGAAACGCATTTAGAATGGTGGCCAGGAACTTTGGCTCCAGTTGCCTGGATTTGAATCCTAGCTCAGCCCATGGACAAGATATTGGCAGTCTCTCTGTTCATCAGTTTTCTCATCTCTAAAATGAGGAGGAAACCAGTATTTAATTCACAGGACTGTTGGAGTAATTAGATGAGCACATATATGTAAAATGCTAGAATACTGATGTTTGTTGTTAGGTGCCATTGAGTCGATTCTGACTCAGAGCAACCCTGTGTAGGATTTCCGCGGAGCCAGCTGGTGTTTGAATCCCTGAGAAGATTTTGTGGTTCACAGTCCAGTGCTTATCCTATTGTTACTGTTGCTAAGTGTCTTCGAATCGATTCCAACTCATAGCGACCCAGTATAGGGTTTCTGAGTAGTGGCTGTTGAGCTTGAACCACTGACCTTGTGGTTCAAACTGGCCTTTCAGTCCAGCGCATTAACCCGCAGTGCCACACCAGGACTCCATCTGATCCTGTAATGTTTCACAAATAATGAGTGCAATGTAAGCATTAGCTGTTGTCATCACCACCACCATGCTCCTCTTTCTCCTGAGATTTTCAGTCTGTACTGTTTGAGTGAGCACATTCTCCAGGATCTGGAATCTCAGTGGTGTTCTCTGGGTATTCCTACAAGGGTTTTGTGTGCTTGCATGGGTCTTTGGTTAATTGAGCTCTCCCTTCAGACCTTCTTCACCTGGCAAATCGTAACTATGACTGCTTAGCCAAGTTGCTGGCTTTCAGGAGTCTCTGTCCATACTACTGATCAGCAGAGTCTGCTTACCCCGCTCTCTGCCAGCTCTAAGCAGGAAGTAGGACATTTGTCACATCTCACTTCTTCTCAGTGATGTTTATTGTTCAGTTTCAGCCATTCAGGACATTCAGCTTAGGAAACAATTGAAACCTTTTGTGTGCCTGGGTGGGTGTGGTTCAGACTGTGTGAGTAAAGGAGAGGCAGTTGGGGTTTTTAGGGCATGTTCCCCCCTCTGTCCTGTTTCCATGTGAAGGTGTCTATAAATATGGGTGGATGTGTCAGGTGTTTGGGAGAGTGGGATTCATCTGAAAACTGCCTTTCACTGGGTCATTGTGAACACAGACAGCACAGGAGGACTAAATGGTGACATTGTTTATTTGTAAAACAGGAAACACGCGTGTGATTAAGCAGTCATCATTGCAGAAATTTCAAGAGGAAATGGATACAGTTCTGAAGGATCCATACAAAGTTGTCATGAAGCAAAGCAAGCTACCAATGTCTCTTCTCCATGATCGAATCCGGCCTCATGTAAGATGTAGGATGCCCCCGGCGGTGGCGTTTCTTGGTCAGGCTTTACACGCATCCCACTCTGAGAGCCTTCTGTTTTGTCTTCGAGAGCAGCGGCTTTCATGCACTTGTGAAGAACTTTCTGAGACTTCCCATTTGAACGTTTGTTAGGGGTCTCCCCTCTAGAGTGATCTCATTTCATCAGAAGTGCAGTAGCATCGTGGATAAAGTGCAGGTTAGAGAGTCAGATCTGAATTGTAATCCTTGCTCCATCCCTCCCTCTGCCCTTAGTTAGGTTTCTTTGGGAATTTGAGTGCCCAGACTGTAAAGCGAAGGTAACCCCCCTCACTGGTTAGAAGTCAACATGGATTGATCACCTGTGAAGCAGTTGGCGCGAAGTGAGCATATAGCATATCACATGTTGTTAAGTGCAGTCAAGTCAGTTCCAACTCATAGCAGCTGATGGGTTTGAACCACCGACCTTTTGGTTAGCAGTCTAGTGCTTATCCTGTAGTGCCCACACCAGGACACACGGTAAGCTCTAGGTATTAAGCAACCAAACAAAACCCTGTTGCTGTCCAATCTGTTTGACTCATGGTGTCTCCGTGTGTTCTAAAATAGAACTGAGCTCTACAGAGTTTTTTTGGCTGTAATCTTATGGAGGCAGATTGCCAGCTCTATTTATTTATTTATTTTATTTTGTGGTGTATCTGGGTGAGTTCTAATTAGCATTGTAGTTAATAGCCTAGTGCAAACTGTTCTTGATATCCAGGGACCAAATAGATCAATGTTATTGTTAGATTTTCAGCTCATCTTTTAGGAGTAGATTGCCAAGGTCTTCCGCCCTCAGAGCAGCTGGATAGGTTCGAATTGCCAACCTTTCAGTTCATAGTCAAGCCAACCATTGTGCCACCAAACCCACTGCTGGTGAGTCAGTTCCATCTCAGCAGCCCAGTAACACAGAGTTGAACTGCCCCAAAGCGTTTCCGAGATTCACAGCCTTGCTATCAACCTTGACACGTTTTCCCTGTGAATTTGGCTCCCAGCCGAGCACTGAAACTACTGTACCATCAGGGCTCCTCAAAGAAACTACTGTACCATCAGGGCTCCTCAAAGAAATGCTGTTAAGTACCATCGAGTTCGTTTCCAAGGAGTGGCTGCTGGGTCTGCATTGCTGACCTTGCAGTTAGCAGTCCAGTGCTTATCCTACAGCTCCATGCCAGATACTGTAGTGATAGGTGGTCACAGTGGTCTGCCATGGAGTCAGTTCCCCCTCGTAGCAACCCTGTATAGGGTTTCTGAGACTGTAGATCTTTATGGGAGCAGAAAGCCTCATCTTTCTCCCACAGAACAGCTGGTAGTTTCAACCTGCTGACCTTGAGCTTAGCAGCCCAATTCGTCACCACAGTGCAACCAGAGTACTTTAAACCAGGACTGTTTTTGCTGTTATTGTTAGATGCCGTGGAGTCAGCTCCAACCCAGTAACCCTGTGTACAGCAGAAGGAAACACTGCCTGGTCCTACACCATCCTCACTATTGTTATGTTTGAGCACAGTGGTGCTCACGCCTCCGTGTCAATCTATCTTATTTGGGATCTATTAGTAATACATTTTTCGTTTGTTTCATTGAGTGGTGATTCCATCAAGCTTTGGGAAAATGTAGAATTTGGATTGGGTGGCGAGTTAGAGACCTTTAGGGTTGTATATACATTGAGGATTGTGAGGATTCTTTTTCAGCCAAAAGAGTGGGGTGCTGTTCAGACTGGTTGTAGATTGTGGAAGTTCTGAGCACAGTAAGAACTGAATCTGACTTGGGTGGGATGAAGTTCACATAGAACCAAAGAAGTGGTCTAATGTTTGCTTGCATGCTTTTACTTGCATTGAACGATAATTCCCAGAAATGTAGTGAGGAGACACAAGCTTTGGATCCAGTCTAAGGAGGGGAAGAAAATATTGACATGCATACATGGATGAAACAGTTCAAAGAAAAGTGTTTACTTGCAGAACAAAATAAAAACCAAGGCCTGGTTATTGCCTCAGGTTTTGTCAATTAGGCTTTGTTTTCTGATGGACCAGAAGAATGGCACCTATTAGTGGGAAGACTAGTCTCTTTCAGGGAAACACATGGGTGTCATTCATGAACCACAGACAAGTTGCTCATTTCCCTTCTTCTCTTTATTCTCCCTAAAGCCATCTTTTAACAAACTATTGAATCCTGTTTATGGGAAGAACTGAGGCTCTATTATGGATTTATTGCTTTGTTTCCTTCAAGTTGTTCATTGCTTCTAACCTCTAGTGTTTAAATCTCAGCTGTCCAATGCAGGATCTGCAGTTGCAGCACTCAGCTTGTATTTTGATACAGAAAAGGTATTCAGGGTCATTGATACTTTTGGTGTTTGGCCTTGAACCCCCTTAACCTAATTTTATCATTGTGCGATACCAGCCCCTCGTTATAAAATGTCATTCTGAGATTGTTCTGCACAGTGGTGTCAAATCCAGACATGCTTTTTTTCAGCTTTTGCACATTCAGTCCTACGTGAGGTGTAGGGACTGTAGTTCTGTAGCAGTGCAGTCAAAATGCTGTAACATTTTGCCCGTGTACTTTGTTTTACTGGCTATTACTGCATCACATATAACAACGTATAGGATTTGATACGCAAAACCATGTACACTGCATTTTATAGGTTACTTAAGGGATTTGGGGGGATAATTTTGTTTATGTTTGATTTTACCTGGTAGCATAGGAACCTAACTCTTATATAAAATAGGACTCCTCTTTGAGGATGACCCTTGGTGATGGTGGGTAGCATGTAAAACAAAACAGAGGAGTTACAGAGGCTGCCAAGACAATAACAACTAACTTGAGGATCTTCAGAAGTGACGAAGGGAGCGCCATCGTCCTGTGTATGGTAGCTGGAGCTTACAAAGGAGCTTGTTAGGAGGGCCCGAGAATGATTCTTTTGAGGATAGTCTCTGCCGACTGCTAGCAGTGTGTTACGTGATAGATCCTAACTCAAACTTCGACTTTTATCCTGCTTCAAAAATTCCTACGCCTGTAACTCCTTTATAGGCACATCAAGTTCTAGTTAGTATCAAATTCCTTTTATCGCATCTAAACTATTATTTTGGACTTTTGCTAGATGTTTTTCATCCGAAGCCTTTCCATGTGCATTTAATAAAAACGTTACCTAAATTAGGGAAAAATGTTATCTGAAACGAAAATGCATCTTACAAAACAAGCAATTCCTTTTAGCCATGAAAGAAATTAACTTCCAAGAAAAAGTTGGCATTTACACTTGGGTTAAAAAAAAAACACAACTTTGAGTATGATGGTCCTTGACAAAATCTGTGAATTTGGCGAATTTTATGCACTTGTTTGAAAGCTCAGAAAAGTGATCCGAAAAGATAAGTTAATTTCCATCATTGTGGCCTTTATTACATTTGACTTCAGTTTATGATAACTGAAATAAAGCTGAGTTTTTGGCACATTGCACACAGCTATTCTTACTCACTTTGATTCTTTGCATTAGTTTTGTATTTCTCCAAGGGAGTTTACAGAACTTCAGAATAGGGGGACAAGTGCTTATGCCCTGTAAAGATGCATTGCTGATCTGAAAGTGGGCTGCATCCATGTTTTTATAGATTTTGGTATAGGTTGAACTTTGGAAAAATAAAAGCCGACAGCCTTTCCCAGGTGGGTTTTTAACTTCTCAGTCTATCCCCGTGCTGCTTTCTTTGCTTTCACCTGGAATTCTTTCTCATCAGAATTCAAAAGTGCACATTCTCGACACGGAAAGTTTTGAGTCGACATTTGGCCCAAAGTCCCAGAGGAAGCGACCAAATTTATTTGCAAGTGATATGCAGTCTCTCATAGAGAAAGCTGAGACGTGCACTGAGGGCTACGACCAGGGCAAGGACCGCGACTTGGTGACTGAGGACACTGGTGTGAGGTACGGGCTACGTTCCTGCAGCGCTCCTCGTTTCGGCTCCCACTCAGTGTGCCAGCTTGAAACTCGGTGCTTTTCCTCACAGCGAGGTCTCCTTCCTGAGACTAGAAACACTGGTCACTGACTGAAGGGGCTTTTATTTGCCATTGTTTGTATGTTGTTGTGAAGTGCCGTTAAGTCGATTCCATCCCATAGCAACCCTGGAGCAGCTGGTGAGCTTGAACTGCCGACCTTGCAGTTCAAACGGCTTTGCAGTCTGGTGCATTAACCCATAGCAAGTATAGTAGGCCTTTTATAGCTGTCTCTTCATCCCCCGCCCCCCCCACCGTACACACACACACACACACACACACAGAAACGTTTCTTCATCGTAAAAGTAGTATCGTGGTAGCCCCTGAGTTATCAACATAAGGTACACCTCACACTTTAGAACAAAGTCCTGGAAAGCTAGTAAAAACTTGAGTATTTACAGTGGTTCCTGGTAACCTTCAGGCACGACTTTGCAATACGCATCAAAACATTACTACTACTATACTATTAAGAAACCCTGGTGGCGTAGTGGGTTATCAACTGGACTGCTAGCCATAAGGCCAGCAGTTCGAATCTACCAGCCGTTCCACAGAAGAAAAATGAGGCTTTCTGCTCTCATAAAGCCTAGGAAGCCCCATGCAGGGTCATGATAAGTCAGAACCGACTCCACAGTGTGCATCAGCTTCCACTGTATAATTAGTTAAAGATGCTTTAATGCATCGGCTTCTTTCATGTGTTTTATGCATAGAAAGGTACATTTATACTGTATGTTAAGACAAACATTTGACTACCTGATCTTAAATACAAGTGCTACCTAACCGAATTTTCGTTCAAATTTGACTTAAAGACAGATTTAGGAATGGATTCATATTATAGACAAAATAGAAAACAGAGTTAAATTGGAAAATGTAAGAAGAGAATAAGAATGCGTAATCCCACTACCCATGTTAAGGGCATTGGTAACACCCTGGAGCCCTTAATTGGTGGTCACAGTACCAGTGGTGGAGGGGGGGAGCTCTTGGGCTTGAGGTTTCTTTTGAGCCTCTGAAGATAATATGAAAAATTATGTGTGTATATGCATAAAGGTAGTGGGTGTGTTCTCTCAAATATACTAAATACCTTAAGACTGTTTTAGGTTGCCGTTTACTTGAAGACAGTTTTTTTTCATTGTTAAGAATTAATTTCCATGTCAGTAAATAATAATACAGCATTTACCAACGCCATTAATAGTTCATTGTAGCCCGTCTCATTTTTGGTCATTTATGCTGTTCATAGAGACAGGTAAGGGTAAAAGGTCCTTACAGGAGAAATCCCAGGGTGAAAGAATATGCGTGTTTTTCTATTGTAGCTGCACATGCTCTTCCGATGGGGCTTACATCAGTCCAGTCTCCCCAGCAGTGCTGGAGTCCCCATTGTCCCTCACTGGTCTCTTAAATGAATCACTTCAGTGAAGAGGCACTGCCACTGAGTGGCTGTGACTTCATTGCCATTGTCTGTCCTTCTCAAGCTTTGGGCCGCTAAGAGGGAACATCAAGTCATTTGTGGCCGAGCCAAAAAGTAGTGAGCTCAGTTATCCTAGAATCATGTGGACTTTTGAGTTAGCTTTTCAGCCTTCGGCTAATTTGAATAGTTTAAAAGGTACAATAAGTAGTAATGGGAGAAACCAAAGCATTTTGCTTCATTTTTACTTAGGTTAGCAAATAAGTAGATTGTAAACCTTATCAGAAAAATTTCACTATGTGGTACCAATACGGTTTCACTATGCAGTACCTATATGGTTCAACCTCTGTGGTTTAAATAAAAAAAAAAAAATCAACACGCAAACCATTGCTTTCTAATTGATTTTCAACTCTTGTCAACATCATGTGTTAAAGTGTAGAATGGCTCTGCAGAGTCTCTTGACTGAAATCTTTACGGGGGCACATCACCAGGCCTTTCTGTCACAGGATTGCTGGGTGGGTTCAAACCACCAACTTTTAGGGTAGTAATTGAGTACAGACTGTTTGCACCACCAGGGACCTAGATTAGGGTTCAGTCCTGCCTGTTACATTTCACAACACTCTGTGGTCTGTTGTCTAATTACAGTCACTTAAAATTCGGTTTGTTTTTGGTCTATGTCTGACTGGTTTTGATACCCTTTATTTTTTGCTACATGGTTTGACTTTTTGCAAAGCATCTTTTTTTTTTAATCTTTGTATTGCTTCAGTTACTCATTTGGAATGTTCTCTTGTTTAGAAATGAAGCCCAAGAAGAGATCTATAAAAAGGGACAATCCAAAAGAATATGGGGTGAGCTCTACAAGGTAAGACGCTTAAATTCTCTCTGGCTGAGTAGTTCCTTTGATTTTCATGATCTTATATCAGAAAACTGATTTAGATTTATTGGAGCTTTGTCAGACAAAGTACAGACTCCCTTGCCCATTCCATCCCTGATCCCCAAAAAAGAAACCAGGGTTGATAGAGCCATGTGTGTATTACTAATGTGGCAGGTAGTTGCATTTGAGAAATACCTTATATAATAAAAACAGCAGCCTTTGGTGCATATATATTTTCTGTTGACAGATCTTTAGATTCCCTACTTAGATGGGATTCTTACTTAGTTTTGTGGTGGTGGCGGTACTTGTCATTGTGTGCCGTCAAGTTTGTTCCGACTCATAGCGACCCTAAATAGGGTTTCTGAAGCTGTAAATTTTTATGGGAGCAGAAAGCCTTATCTTTCTCTCACAGAGAGCAGCTGGTAGATTTGAACTGCTGACCTTGTGGTTAACCCACTACACTACCAGGGCTCCTTATTTGTATGTCTACATGGTTAAAACCACGAGAACTTTGCAGTTGAGTCTAGCCCTCAAATTTTACAGGTGTGAAAACGTGTGGAAAGGTTGGATACTATAACCCACGGCACCCAGCCTGTTAAGAGGAAGAGTCTTTGTGTATCCTGAGTTTTGATCTAGTGATCTTTAGCAAACTAAGTTTTTGTCCACACACTAGTAATTTTGGTGGGAACAAAGATGGTCAGGCAAATCACAGACTCAAACTGTGACTTAAAGGAAACTTGTACCGTGAAGGCAAACAAAAGTCACGTTCCGTAAACTGCACAGTCGCTAACAGTGAGCCTCTGAGAAGTTTAACAAGTAAAGGATTCTGTCCAATAATACATAGCAGTCATGAAGTAAGATGGGTTTCATCAAATACCCGCAGGTGAAAATCCTTTGAATTCTGATCACTGGGCCTTGAGGTTGTCTTCGGTCTGCTCTCCTCAGAAGATGGTTTTGAAGTTGCCTCTAATTATTTTACTTTTTCCAGGTTCCCTAAGATAACCATCTTTCTTTCATTTTGTATTTATTCTGTAGCTAACCATTTTTGCCTCTTCGAATTTGCAGGTGATCGATTCATCAGATGTTGTAGTTCAAGTTCTTGATGCTAGAGACCCAATGGGTACCCGTTCCCCTCACATTGAGACTTACTTGAAAAAGGAAAAACCCTGGAAACACCTCATTTTTGTCCTTAACAAATGTGATCTTGTTCCAACCTGGGCAACAGTAAGTACAGCTACTAATCCCCAGACAAATTGCTGAGGCCATTCAACCTAGTATTGATTTTGAATTGTTAGTTCATAAATCTGTCTCATGGTTTTTAGGCTATGGGGCATAAGTCAAAGTGTTGTACTCTTGAGATTGGAGCATTCTCATTGAAACCTAAGTGTGTTTCATTGATACTAGGGAGAGAGGCACCTTTTGTCCGCTCGCTGCCAGTTAACAGTGGGACAGTTGCAGTGCCTGCAACAGATGAGTGCTGGTGTGGCCCCTTCAGAGGGAGACCTCGGCTGCTGAGGCACTGGCTACTTTACATTATGTCAAAGTAATTGCATTTAGATCACAGTGAAAGCATTTTTAACAATTACTTTTGCATTTGTAAAGCAAAGACAAAACATTAACTGTCATACTTTGGAAAACACTTCAAAGAATTATAGCTAACATTTTTCTTAGACAACTGTATATTTGCAAAGCAATCCTGTAATACAAATTTCAGTTCTTCTCAATATTGTAAATCAGTTGCTAACCACTGACATCTTTTCTTTTTGCCTCTAGAAACGTTGGGTTGCTGTCCTATCCCAGGATTATCCGACACTTGCTTTCCATGCAAGTCTTACAAACCCTTTTGGCAAAGGAGCATTCATTCAGCTTTTACGGCAGTTTGGAAAGGTATTGAACTGGTCTGTTTCTCTTGGGGTTGTCTGGCTGTGATTTGTGTGAACATTCCGTTTGCCACAGTTTATCACTTAGGTGCTGACTCCTCCCCAAATCTTGGTATTGAAAAATGTGCTCTAGAGATGTAAAAAAACTGAAGAGAACATCAGGATTATAAAGGATTATGAGGTGTTTTCTAGCTCAATCATTATGCTGATTTTTCAACCAGCGTTCTTTTCATTCTTTTATTCCTGGTACCCAGTGGTCCAAATGCTGCCTGAGGTTGACCCCATCCCCTTGCATTTTAAAAGCCTGCCATGCTTCCTCTTTCTTCAGGGCCATCCAAGTGTTCCCCGTCCCCTCTGCCTGGGGAGTACCCTACTCACACACTGGCACCAGATCCTTGGGCAGATGTTAGTGCCTCAGGGCAGCCCTGAAACCAGATTACTCTGTTCAGTGTTCTTAAAGCTTCCTGTCCTGTACCTATGATTTTTCATTTGATTCATTCTACCTGGCTTCTAACATAAGATACATGTTCCTAGTCCCACCCTCCCCTGCTTTCCAGAAGGAAACACTTTCAACTCTTCACTGTTAACACGTTATTAAAAATCCTCTAATTTTTATTGTATGTTTAATGAGTCTTATTGTTGTCTGTCCTTCCGCTCCCACCCCACCCCAGTTTTAGGTACTTGTTAACTTTCTGCTGTGGAAACAAGCCACTGTCTCTCCACACATACTTCCTGCTCTTCTCTTTTCCTGATAAAACAAAACAATGTCTGTTTAAATTATTATGACTGAGTAAAGTCCTAATCCTAGTTGATTCATACACTGTACTGCGATTATAATTCTTTTCTCATAAATCCTTTCCTTTTCTCAGGTGTTATTTGCTCTGGTTTATTTGTATCCATCATGTATCCCCCAATTATCCGGCAGAGCAGGGTCTTCCAGAATGTTCAGAGGGCCGGTCTGTTTCAGTGGTGAGCCTGTTGTCCTCCCTCTGCTGTGTGGAAAGCCATGCTGCTGTCATCCCTTGGGGACTTCCCTTCTCCAGCATCTTTGAATGCCCATGGCTGCTTTCCTATCTTGGATCCTTGTTTGTTGGGTCCCTTTTCATCCTCTTTATTTATTCCTTCCTTTTCATAGAACAGACTTTCCAGAAGCTTCCCAAGAAAGGGTGCTTGGGAAGAACTTTTTTTGAGACCTTACATTCTGAAAATATCTTTATTCTACCCTCAACATTGTCACAATGTTTGGCCAGGTGTAAAACTTAAGGTTGAAAATCCCTTTCCCTGAGAATGTTGAAGGTACTACTGCATTGTCTTCTGACTTTTGATGCAGCTGTTGAGTCTTCCAAGGCCTTCCTGACCTAGCTTTTTTGGCTGTAGTGATCTTTTTTCACAGTGATATACCTTGGGGTGGGTCTTTTATTGTTCAGTGAGCTAATGGGACTTCTAGTGTGAAATTGTCTCAGGTTATTTCTTTAATGTTCCCTCTTCCCTTTCAGCAGTTCTTTTCTCTTCCAAGAATTCGGTTTTGCCTTCTGTATTTCTTACATTTTAGCATATATGTGACATTTTGCTCTATCATCTGGGTGATTTCCCTGACTGAATCTTCTAGCTGTTCTATCGTAAACTTTCTTGTCCTGTCACTTTCCATTTCTGGGAGCTCTTTGTTGTTTTACTATGAATTGTCCCCAAACTCCACTCCCCTTTGTATCCTCCTCTTGTTTTGCGGATGCAGTAGTCTCTCTCTGTCTCTCTGAGAACATTACTGAGAGGAGAGATTTTTTGAAATTTTCCTCTCTCCTGACATTGACTTTGTTTCCTCCAACTTTCTTTTTTTAGCTTAAAATAACAAATATATTATCTTACAGCTCTGGAGGTCAGAAGTCTGGTATGGGTGAAAATTAAGATGTTGGCAAGCTGTGTTCCTTTTTCCCTCCTACTTTCTTTTGTTTGCTTTACTATTTTTCTGTTAGAGTCACACTCAGATGTTTGGCTGTTCTTGGCTCTCCGTTCCTATTTAAGGGTGAGGCACTAAAAAAAGCCGGTAAATGTTTTAGGCATGGGATGAACTTGTTGGCTCGTAGACTTCTCTATAGGGCGATTGGATAGGGACCCACAGATTACAGAGGACGCCCTAGATTTCAGTCTGCCAGCCTTTGCTCTTAGGCCAGTGATTCTCCCCAAAAAGGACTCTTCAGCCTCCAGCTCTGGGAGCATCTAAACCCAGTTCTGGGAACTCTATGGGAGTAAGGGGCTAGGGTATTCACAATTCAGTGTTCGGACTTCCAACTAATCACTCTGGAGTCAGCTGCTTTTAGCGGCTCCTATTCTTAATGTAGAGTCCCTTTTGAAACATGCAGAGTTTCAAACACGTTTCATCTCCCAGGTCCGTGTCTCAGAGAGATGTGGGAAGATGTGTTCTTTCTAAAGAAAGAGTAAGCCACGACAGAAAGAGGGAAGGGGACCAAAGAAACGGTCTTGCCATTTATAGGGACTTCCAGCCAGTCCTCTTGTTTTCAGCCCTGCCCTCTCAGGTGTGTGGTACCACAATGTCCTGAAGTTTGTTACGACTCCCTGGCATTTCTTCAGTAGGTTTTTCAGTATTTCTACCTTCGCAGCCATTTAGCTTTCCTATTTTGTAGCAGGGCAAGTAAGCTATATTACCTTGTAGCTTCTTATATTTTGTTGACATCACAGTTCTTACTATTTCCTCTGTAGCTCGTTCTTTGAGCTGTGGTTTCTCTGTGTTAATCCTCACTGCTGTCAGTCTAGTGGACCCTGGGGAGGGGCTCTGAGGTAAGCATGCACATGTACATGGGGGCTTCAGTAGTCTATGGGGGGGTGGGACGGGATTCCATTATCTTTTCGTTCCTCTTTTTCCTTGAAGTTTTTGAAGCCCCCTCACATGTTCAATCAGTCGTCTTTACTCATATATGTAGACTCTCATCTTGGTAACAAGCTTGAGTTCTGTCTCCTTAAGACTCTCACCCAGCCCTCTAATTGGTGAAGCTTTTTTTTTTTTTTTAATCTTCTGTTGCTTATTTTGGGCAATAAAAACACAAAATATATTCTGCAAAGAAAGGGAGGTTATTGCAGTAGGTCATGGCATTGTCGGTTGGTGACTCTGTTCAGGTTCATTACCCTGGAGACATTGGACTGGTGGCTGGTGTTCTTCTAAAGTGATGATTTGCAAGCTCTTTCTTCTTTTCTCTCTTGACCCACATAATTTCAACCTTAAAACATTCAAAGATAACTTCATCTGATGACCAAGGAAATGCCACACACCTGCTTTGTTGATAATGGTACAGATCTCACTCACTCAGACTATGCAGGTGGCTTGTGTCTAGGCTTCACATCAAACTGTGACCTCAGTTTTACACTCTCTTCTTCATTAGCAAAGAAACACAACCTGTCTGTCTGAGGGAGTTGTCATAACTGCCAGTGTGCTGTGTGTTCTTTTTTCAAACAGTTACACACTGACAAGAAACAGATCAGTGTCGGGTTCATTGGCTATCCAAATGTTGGCAAGAGTTCGGTGATAAATACTTTGCGTTCCAAGAAAGTTTGCAACGTGGCCCCCATTGCAGGTGAAACCAAGGTACATCTGGCTTGAGTGGGTCTTATTCTATGTATTTGATTTTCATAGAGGGTGATTGTTTTGGGCCTGGAGATTGAAGACCACCATTGGGAGGTCAGTTTTTCACAGAGTAGTTTAGAATGTGCTAGAATTGTTTCTGTCAAAGTCGAATGCCAGTGTAGATTTGGTATGATATCATCAGTGCCATTAATACTTGGGTCTACTTTAGATTGTTATCACTCCTATCTTTTACTTGTTTATCAAACAAAAATAGCGAAAGGATGATGCCTGGGTGAGATGGAAAACTCAGCCTTAGGGTAGATTCAGACCATTGTTGGGGAGGTCATACCCTGGAACACGGAGTATTTGGGGAGTAGCATGGATCTACTTGAAGGAAGAGAGGCCAAAATGAATACTCAGCTTCCAAGAGAAAGGTTTACTGGGCATTATTGCACAATGCTAATTGGAAGACCGGCCTCTGCATTATTTTTAGACTCTTAGCTGATGGAAACTATAGTTTATACTTGGTGGAAGTGTGTCATGCTGGCGTAGAGAGAGGTTTAGTTAGTAACTCAGTGACTCAGCAGGTTGCTTTTCTGTGATTCCCCCTCCTCTCCTTTCGAGATTCATGGTAACATCAGGTATTGTGCACTTAGACTCAGACTTGACAGAGGGCAGTCCCTGACTCGTTTCTGTCTTCAGGTCTGGCAGTACATCACATTGATGAGGCGGATATTCCTAATTGACTGTCCAGGCGTGGTTTACCCCTCTGAGGACTCGGAGACAGACATTGTGCTGAAGGGAGTTGTGAGTATTGTGGTTCTGACAGGCCCTTTGTCTGCCTTTTCAGGGGAAGGGTTCTTTCAGAAAGCCTGGATACCTTTGCTTTTTACTCCTTCAGAAAACAGTTTGGGGTCAGCCTGTCTGACCAAACTTTTGGAACATGATGCTGAGCAGGGCAGCATCTCCATTCCACTTAGGCCTGTTTGTGGAGTTTGTGGAGCCATGGGCATATCTGGTCAGTATCATCCCACAAAAGAGTTTTTCGTTTACACACAGAATCCAAAGGGAAGCAGGGCCTGTTTATGTTTAGTGATAATTCATCTTCGTGGGTTTATGGCTTGAGTCATTTTGGAACCCAGTCATTTCCTCACTTGTTTCTGAAGACTACCAAAACTCTAAATGGTTCCACTTAACTCTAACCAGTGCTCCTGGCTCTACATTCTGTGCCCATTCCTCCTCTCCCTTCTTAAATTATTCCATTCTTTGGGGGTCCTGGTACTGGCAGACGTTTAACCATTTCTACAAGTTGAGTAACATGAAGCATTCCGAGTTGAAACTGCTGCAGAAGCCACACAGTTAGTTCGTTGTGAAGTGGGATTGGCACTGGGGTTTGGGCTCCCGCTGCTGGAGTTGGCTCTTGGTGGCCCTCCTTTCCACCGACCCTGTCTAGCCACCGCAGAGATGGCCCCTGCCAGGCTCTGCCTGCCCTGTGGTGGTGTCATCTATTTTCAGATATAGTTATAAAGAACAGTCAGTGGAAACATCACTGCTTCCGTTAAGAAGTGTGTAAGTGAGAGATTGCCTGTTGATATCTAGGTTCAAGTTGAAAAAATTAAGAGTCCTGAAGACCACATCGGTGCCGTGCTTGAACGAGCAAAGCCAGAATATATCAGCAAGACCTACAAAATTGATGCTTGGGAGAATGCCGAAGATTTCCTTGAGAAGCTAGCTTTTCGGACTGGGAAGCTGTTAAAGGTGAGTCTTCATTCGTGATCGTGTAAATGGCCAAATGTGTGCCGTGGGACTGGCTTCTTGCAAGCAGTGTGTATTTGATAACGGGTCTTTTTCTGCATGCACGCTGAATGCAGTATGAAATCGTCCAGCAGGGGGTGGTGAACAGCAGGGACAAGGAGCTGGCTTTTTGGTTTTTTCTTTGTTTGACTTTAATTTGGAGCCTTTCTGTGGCATTTCAGGGTGGCGAACCAGACTTGCAGACTGTGGGTAAGATGGTCCTCAATGACTGGCAGAGGGGTCGGATTCCTTTTTTTGTCAAGCCACCCAATGCAGAGCCCCCGGCAGTTCCCCAGGTAAGACAGTGGTCCGCAGTGACCTAGAAGTAGTGCGTCCCTTTCTGGAACATCCTTTTCCTAGGTGGTAGAAATTTCAGCTGTAGTGTCTCCATTCCAGGGGCCATAGCCGTGACATTTTGGGGGCGTGTAGATGTGGGCTAGATAGTTAGGCTGGTAGCCTCAATGTCAGCAGTTCAAACCCACCAAGTGCAGGAGAAACAGAAGATTATCTGCTCCCATAAAGATTTAGTCTCAGAAACCCTACATGGGGTGGCTATGAGTTGGAATTGACTCATTGGCAGTGAGTCTGATTTGTCGGGTTTGGTATGTTGAAACACCAAGCGTAAATAGCAGTTTGGGGAGAGTTAGAAAAAGAAGTACTCATTAAATGTAAGTGCCATCTGCTGCCTGTATCTGTCACACGTGCCAAAAACAAAACAAAACAAGCCTTCCAAGATGCTTTTGTTTAGCAAACATTAGTATGACATAGCCCTTACCTTCCAGAAGCATGTAATCATGTGTAGTTGGTACTCAGAGAAAGAAGTCTTTGATTTGGGGGTTTCTGGGCTAAGTTGAATGGCTGCTCTCTTACCCATTTCCCTTACTCTGGCAGTGGTCCGCCAAAAGCTCCCCCTGTAGCAATTTGCTTTTCTATCTCTAGGGTCTCTTTCAGAGTACAGCCAGGTCTCTTGAAGAGGTGGCTTCAAGTTTTCTCTTCTCTGCTACTAGCATTTGGATTGAATTAAATGGGGGCCATGTCTGACTTCCTCTGGCTTCACAAGGAGGAAAGAGAATCAAATTCAGAATCAACCCAGGGACAGTTCCTATGAAGTGGAGGTCAGACCTGCTTCAACCCTACAACCTTCTTCACCCTATTCTGACACCAACCCTCCCTCCCACAGCCCTCTCTGCTTCACATCTGGGTTCAACAATCCATTGCAATGGCCACCTGGAACTCTTAACAGTACTCATAATTTTGGGGGTTGTTAGAGAGATGAGCATGTTACAATTCAGGAACAAAACCAACTCAGGATACTACAGTTTTCCAATCAGGGATGCTGCTTCTCTGCCATACTGCAGACACTCCTAACTTTTTGTCTTTGGCTTCTTAGCCATGTGGCCTCTTGACCTCTGCCCTGCTCGGACAAACGTTACAAAGATCTTGAATGCCCAAAGGGTACACTCTGTATGCCATCTTCCTTGCCCGTAGGCACTCTGCTTTACTCTGTCCATAGGCCTAGAGCCTGAAGCTGCCCATCTCTCCATGCCACTTTTCTAGGTAGGGCTCTCACACCCCATTCATCCTATTCCTTCTTCATGGCCCTGGGCTTGTCTGTTCCTGCTTCTCCGATGGCTCCTTTTAAACATAGCTGGATAGCAAAACTACCTAATCCCAGCCTTACAGCCCTGTATACCTTATTTGCATGATCCCACCAATCACTTGATGGGGATTAAGGAGACGTTAAATAGAAAAGTCATATTAAGTAAATCGTGAATTCAATGTATCACAGTGTCTCTGGTTTTCTCTTATCTGAGCTCCATTCCCAGAGCTTCAGTTGTTGACTAGGTAGTCCCAGGTGACTATTTCCTCCAGCATTTCAAAGTTGGCATACCTGAAACTGAAGGGAATCCATTTTCTCCCCTCTTGGCTCCCAAACAACCAAACCAAATAGCTCATCTCCTGTCGTCTTTGTCCATGCGTGTGCCAGGTGTTCTTTAAGGTCCTGAAAACACTGCAGCGAGCAAAGCTGGCAAGTCCCAACCCTGCTGGACTTGTGTTACAGACGAGGAGGTGGGCAGTAAACAAACTTAGAATGTCGGGAACTGTTGGTTGCTGTGAGGAAACCAGATGAAGGGCTTCCGGGAGTGCTCTCGGATGTAGTCTGGTCAGGGAAGGCATTTGAACAGAGACCATGCAGCTATTCAGGAGGAGGAGAGCATTCCAGACAGAGGACCAGCACACCCAAAGTACCGGAAGCAGGTTGTACAATTCTTACGAGCGACGGTGTACCCCCCAGTCTGTGTTTCTCATCTCTGTCTTTTTGCAGGGAAGTTTTAGAAACCCTTTTGAGAATCTGAAAGCTCAAGATTGCCTCGCTAGGACAATGTTCAGATGCACATAAATATTCTCTATAGACTTTCCTGGGTTTTAGAAATACATGGTTTATTTAGCACTTTGCTTTCCACTCATGATTTTGGAAAATTAAGCCCTAAGAGTTGCCGTTGTGAACATGAAATGCAGGTCTGTGTGAAGCACCCGTGGGAAACCTGGCATGTGCTTCTCTCTGTACCATTGTCTAAAGCAGCCAGTCTCCAGTGCACCCAATTCAGAAACAGGTGGTGGTGGTTGTTGAGTGTTGTCGAGTCGATTCCGACCCATAGTGACCCTGTATAGGGTTTCCAAGGCTCTCCTTGTGAATCTATTCAGGAGCAGAAAGCCTCATCTTTCTCCCCAGAGCAGCTTGTAGTTTCAAACTGCTGACCTTGCGGTTTGTGTAGGGTTTCCGAGACTACATGCTCACAGGAACAGAAAGCCTCATCTTTCTTCCGCCGAGCTCCTGGTAAACTCAAATGGTCTATTCCAGTGCTTATCTTATGGAGCCACACACTCCCCAGGTGATTGTTTTTAATGGTCAAATGGAGTCCTGGGGTGATGCTGTAGGATAAGCCCTGGACCACAAGGTTGGTTTGAACCACAAGGTCGGCAGTTCAAACTCACCAGCCACTGCTCCAATACCCTATCCAGAGTTGCTATGAGTCAGAACTGACTCATACAGCGCTTAGCAACAACAGTGGTCAAACGCAATTATAATTGGCTCATCCTTTGGAACTGTAGATATATCCCTTGACCCTTTAATACTGGCTTCAGAGCACACTGATTTAGAATAGTTTACTGATACAACTCAAATGTGGGTGCTTTCTGATCTTTCCCTTCATCCTGGGAAAAGGAATACTTCATTTGAGGGCAAGATACAAGTTTAGGAATTCAGCTTTCATTTTCTGATTACTTCTCTCTTCCCCTCTTGGCCTTTAATAGCTCCTACCCTCTGCCTCCTCTTCGGAGGTTGCCACAGAATCGACCCAGAACCTCCCAGAAGCAGAGTGCACAGAAACCATGCTTGAGGAGCCAGGCTCTGTCCTTGAGAAGGAGAGCAGCCAGGAGCAGCAGTGCGACACTAACTGGGAAATGCAGCAGATCCTTGCACGGGTCCGACAGAACTTCGGCAAAATCAACGTCGCGCCTCAGTTTTCCGGGGATGACCTGGTTCCTTTGGAGATGTCAGATGTTGAAGAGTTTGAGAGCTATTCAGAAGACGAGGAGCAGCAGGAGCAGCCAGGGGACGAGGAAGAAGAAGAACCTTGCCAGGAGTTCCAGGAAGAACCCGTGCAAAAGGACTCCAGAGCAGTTCTTAAAGCCCTGGATGATAAGATTGCTAAATACCAGAAATTCTTAAACAAAGCCAAAGCTAAGAAGTTTTCAGCCGTCAGGTAGTGTTGACGTTTCTTCATGCACTGCTGTTTGTTCTTTCCCAGAAATCTGTCTTGAGGACTGGAGCAGTGTTTGTTGCTGTGTGCTGCTGAATCGATTCTGGCTCCGAGGGACCCTGTAGGACAGAGTAGAACTGCCAGAGGCTTTTCTAGGCTGTAAAGCGTCACTGGAGCAGATCTTTGCTCCCAGAGCTCTTAGTAACCAAGCACTTAACTACTGTGTCAGTAGGGCTCTTGAAACTGTGATGTGGTTAAAGTGCCGTCAAGTGTTTCGACTCTTAGCCACCCTGTATAGGGTTACCAAGGAGTGGCCTAGTGAGCTTGATCCACCTACCTTGTAGTTCAAACCAACCTTGCAGTCCAGCTCATTAACCCACAGCGCCACACCAGGACTCCTAAAGCAGTATTAGGAGGGGTTATTGCCTTACAGAAGCCTTGGTGGCAGTGTGGGCTAAGCACTAGGCTGCTAACCTCAGGGTCGGCTGTTCAAACCCACCAACCACTCTGCAGGAGAAAGATGCTATCTGTTCCCATAAAGATTTACCAACTCAGGAAACCTGATGAGCCGTTTTATTCTCTCCTATATAGGTTTACTGTGAATCAAAATCAATTGGATAAATGTTTTTGGTGGTTGTTTATTGCCTTCTTACAAGAGAGTAGTTTAAGTTATGTAAAATGTATGAGAAACTTAGGTGCTGGGATTTTAGAAATGCCCTGGGAGCTACAGACACTGGGGGGCATTTGACTTGTCAGTGAAGTTGGGGGATGGAGAATCCGTGTGCAAAGGCATTGACCAGCAAGCTAGCTGTGTCCACATTAGCATGTGATTTGAGCAGTTGAGGGAAATGGCCACCTTCATTACTTTGCATCTCTGTTGCAGAATATCCAAGGGGCTAAGTGAAAAGGTCTTTGCAAAATCAGAAGAACAAGAAGACGTACAAGATAAAGGTAAAATTAAATCATGTCAGTCACTAGTTTAATCTCCATATTATCTTTTGGACTATCAGTATCCACACATATTTATCATATTGGCAGATTACCCTGGTTCCATGTAACCTGTGGAATTGGATTGTCTACTTTTTGTTCTATACATTTCTTAAGATTAAATGGGTCAATTCAGGGAAACTTCCTCTTAAAAGAAATGTCATTATTAACTTTATATTCCCAGGGTGGGTCTGAAGATAAATTTTGAATTGAAACTTCCTGTTTCTCGTGTGTGTGTGTGTGTGTGTGTTTCTAGCACCTACCAAGAAGGGGAAGAAGAGAAAGGCACAGAGAGAAGAGGAGCATTCGAAGAAAGCTCCCAGGATGCTTACGTCTAAGGAAGTAAGTATTTTTGGTGTTTTTCTCAGCTGGCTTTAGAAAGCACAGAGAAATAGAGTTCTTGAGACCCACTCTTTCCGGAGCTAATGGTCTAGAACCAAATCCCAGGAACTCGGATCCTAAGTGTCCTGGAGCTCATGATCATCATCTCCAGACCTGTCGTCGGCAGGAATCAGTGTGGTGTAAATGACCCACAAGTGGACAGAAATATCTCAGCATACAGATCACTGACCTGACCTGCGCCAAGTTCAGAGCTAGAGTGGGCCCTGGAGGTGATGTGTTATTGGAAGTAAATGTTCAGCCTTAGCCCTGAGGACCCCTTGTCAGGGATGTTGACATAGCCGCTGAGCATTGGGCAGGGCTTTGAGGCGAGTGAGGATCTGTCGTTTGGGGATGTACTGAGGGTAGAGTTGGCTCTGGAGGTGAAGCCACCCTTGTTCATACTGCTCCCTGTAGCTGTGAAGCAGCTTAAGATATGGGGCACAAAATGAACAGCACAGCACCCGCCCACAGCCCGCCGTTGTGACTGATTGTGCTCTTCTCTTCCGCAGCGGAGACGAGCAGAACGGCAGCAGCACTCCCGGAAAGTTGGTGTGCGTTACTATGAAACACACAACGTGAAGAACAGGAACCGGAACAAGAAGACCAGTGACTCCGAGGGGCAGAAACAGAAACACAAAAAATTCAAGCATAAGCAGTAGTAACATTTAAAAAATTGTTTATTAAATTATACAAAAATAGGCAATTGAGCATTATGTTCATTTTCCTTATGCACAGTTGGCATTTGTAAGACCATAATGCATTTGTTCTGAAGTTTGACATTGGAAACCGCTCACCAGGGCAAGTGAACAAAGCCCCCTCACCCCTCCTAGGGGTCCACTGGCACATAAACACTTGAATTAGCCCTTCGTCTCAAAATGTAACCCTACCATGTCAACATTTGACAGAAACGGGCTATGGTCTATAAAATGGCTAGTGTGTATGTTTATTATATGGACACTTAGCAATTGGGACAAAACATACAGAACAAAAGCAGAACATTTCAAGCATGTAGGGTACACGGCAAAGAAAAAAGGCAAAGGTATGGCAACTTCAGTTGCTTGTTGAGTCTGTTAAATGGGCCCATTTAGGCTCTAAGTGATTAAGGAGTCATGGAACTAGCAAATTTCAATGAACAGAGTTATAGCCTACTAAAATGACAGAAAGATCATTTTAGTGGAGTCTTATAATTCCTCAGGACACTTGGGTAAAGATGAAAACTGACTTTAGATTTGAAATTAGCGTATGGGGCTTGCTCCACTTGGGACAAGCCTCTTTTGGACTGGGCTCCTGCCCCTGAGCCTTACAGCCCTAACAAGGGTGAATGTCAGGTGAGGGACACCTCTGCCAAGGAGTGGGTCCCTCCTCCACCTCAGGGAGGACGCGGCACGGAGGTGTTCTAGGCGAGTACAAACGTTAGTGCCTGCTTTTGAGCCTTATACAGAAGCCACCCAGTTCGCTACCGTAGCCCACCCTGGTCGCCCAGAATTCAAGGTGTAGTGCTGCTAATCCAATCACAGAGCCACAAAATCAAAACAATCCTGAGCCTCCAAAGCGTTAGCTTAAAAGGACATACAGTGGTTACAGGCCACAGCCTGCTCATTCATAAGCAGAACTGCATACGAGTTAGTTAACACAGCTACTACAGGTGTGTAGAGTCATTAGGGTTTGGTTTCTATGAAATGAGGCGAAGAGATCCAATCAGGAGCTGCGGTATAGACACAATGGACACACCCATGCCTTGTATTTCTTTCTCACAAACATTTCAGAGGCTTTGACTCTGCCATTGTTACCTAAGTAGGCAGTCTGGAACTGAAGAAAGGGGTGCAGGTGGGGTTAAGATGAGACAGTACAAAATCAAAGTTCCAAAATGAGTTACTGAGGCCAGAGAAGCCCAAGTTAAGGTACAAGATGAATTGTGGACCAAAGAAACTGGACAACAGAAGCTGTTTCATTGGGTCAGAAATTGGTGATACGGAGTGATGACAGTTTGCTTCACCTGAGAGGAACATAGCCGATGGAGTAGTTAAATCTTAATATTTGAGTTGACAAATCCAATACGCCACATACTGAAACTATCGGATACACCTCCTTCCGTTGCCCAGTCAGCCCGGCTGCCAGACCTTAGCTGGTTCAGGGCATGGGGGCAATAGTGTGACTCCCGACAAATATATGTAGGTGGTGATGAGGGGTGGGTCTGGCTTATTCACTCATGAAACTAGCATTTTATTACAAAGGGCTTATGATGGGGTAGAGTAATGCTTGTTGAGATCCAGATGGAAATGATCACTTCTTGGGTGCAATAATGCCTTCCAGTTGGGCCTGAAAAACAGTAACAAACTCCATTAATGTTTGAAACTTGCAGCCTAACAGAAATGGTTTGAGAGGTGATAAAAGTCTCTGGGAGGCATAATCCAAATGTTGCCACTCCAATGACTCCTTTTCTCCCTTCATTCCCAACTCCATCTTTTCTAGATTAGCTGGTTTCTGGCTTGGCGGACCATCTTGCTAAATTAGGAGAAACCAGAGCTGCCTGGGTTTCCATACAATAACAGCTCAGTGTATAATATAAAGCATTGAAAAGGAAATTGAATAAACGTTGTTGAAATAGTGGTTTTTTCATGGCTCAGATTTCAGGCCTGAAGATGTCGGCTAAGTTAAACATTTTGACACTCTGGTTTGGGATCCTGGGAGTTCTGCTGCTGTGACAAGAAAGGTTTGAGAACAGCACGTTCTCAGTCACTGAGACAACTTGACACCCAATTAGAGAAAACTGCTACCGGTGACTAGGGAGCTGTCCATGTTGTATGTAAAGCTTTAGGCACTTGGGAGGTATTTACTCTGCTCTGTCAGCAGTCAATAAAATAAGTTACTATCCTAGTGTGTGGACAGACCTTTAAGTAGGTCTATCCTGGGGACTGCAAACACTACTGTATTTGCAGTGCAGCTTTGCGCCAATAAAAAATTAACTCACTTATAAAGAACGCTTCCCCCTGGGGATTACAAGTCTGTTTGTAAATGCTGGAAAGATGCTATGGTAGTCTCCTGCTTTCCTATGGCCGCTAATACTAGAGGAGGAACTCTGGGCATATGACAAAAGAATATGGCAAGATAAGGGAAGAAACTTAAGAAGCTGTTAAGTAGGCAGATTCGCATCTGACTGAAGGTTGGTTTCAGCAGTTTGGGGGCAGTTAATACAAACACCTCTTTTCCTCAGATGCTCTGCCCACTTGGTTTTAGAGCCCAAACGCCTGCCAATCTCAAGAACGTAAGCTTTCCAAGGGTCTCGGTCTTCAGTAGGGATGGGGACGCAGAGCTCCATGGGGGAAATCACTGAACATCAATAGACTGCACACCTAGAACAGTGATTCTTGAGCTTCAGCAAACATCAGGATCACCTAGAGGCCTTGTGAAAACAGATTGCTGGCTCCCAAATCCAGCATTTCTGAATTTGGGGCATGAGCTCAAGCATTTGTACTTTTCCAATTTGCCAGGTAATGAGGAGGATGCCTTTGAGACTCTTTGGACCAAAGAGTCTGAAGTTCTAGGGGCCTGTGGCCTGTAGCTAGCCTCTTCCACCAACCCCACTCCCTTCCCATCACCCCAGTGAATCAGAGTAGCCACTGGCAACGGGATTCCCCTGACCACACACCTGGGGAAGGTGCCTGAGTAGAGATGGCGCTGTCTGCCCTGTCCAACCAACAGTTGTGACTTCTAGCTTATGCCCCAAAAACAGGGAATGCCTGGTAGCGAAGTGGTTACGAATCGGCCTGCGAACCTTAAGGTCAGCGGTTTGAAACTACCAGCTGCTCCGCAGGAGAAAGATGAGGCTTTCTACTCCCATAAAGATTTACACCCTCAGAAACCCTGTACAGGGTCGCTATGGGTCGGAACCGACTCAATGGCACTTAACAACAACAACAGGGAATGCCAGTGGGGTGACACTTCCATTAAATCCCACCTCGGAGACCCAGCCCATTCTAGGAACACTCCAAAATGCCAACTGAGATGGGGAACAAGTGCCACTTCTTTTGTCCTGAGAACGGGCAACTTTTCCCCCCAAGTTAAAAACGCTCCACTAGAGAGTCAGGATGAGGTCTCATGGGGGTTCAGAGGGACACTAGAACCCTTACTCAGAGCTAGATGGATGGCGAATCCACATAGTGACTCCTAACGCCTCACCCCTCACAAAAGTTTCCTTTACTGCTCAGCAACACATGTGGATGAATACCTAAAATCCATCAGTGGTGAAAGGTGATGGCACTTGAAGACAATTAGTCCAACAGAGCAATGGACCATGTGAACATCAGTCTCCATGACCCAAGACCAGAAGAACGAGATGGTGCCTGGCTCCCACTCACTACTAACTGCTCTGAAAGGGATCACATTAGAAAGTCCTGGATGGAGTGAGAGAAATTGGAACAAACCTCAAAATCATTAAAAAGACCAGGCATACTGGTCAGACAGAGGCTGGTGGAACCTTTGGTCACCCTTCAGGTCTAGAACTCACCACTGTGGATCAATTTTCAGCCAAGCAATAGCTAGGTATATAAATGGGACAACATTAATGAGATATGAACACCATAGAGTGGTCAACCATTCAAGATCAAAAGGGCAGTATTTACCTAAGGACAAAAATCAGCCGGGTAGGGAAAGGAGGAAAGGAAATGAGACACCCAGGGAGGAAGGGATTACAATCACTGAGATGAAACGAAGTGTATGATTTTTTAATGTAAAACTCATGATCTGCTCTGTAAACCTTCATTCAATTCACAATAAAAAGTTAAATGAAATGCATCCGTGGGAAAAGGAGCCAAATGCTTGGTCTGTGTGGGGGAGGGGACTGGAGGTGGGCACGGAAGAGAACTTTCCACCTGGACAGGAGCCTTGATTACCTTCAACTGTTGATTCGTCCGCTTCAAGAACTGAACCTCCTCGTTGTGCTTTTTCTCCTCCACCTGTCGCCTCTCGTTCTCCCGCTTCTCAGTGGCCTCACATTTCGCCTTCTGCTCGTTCACCTGTCTCTCCAGATCTCTCTTTTCAGTTTCCAATTCTGCAATCTGAGGACAGAGAGCCCCAAGTCATCCTGGGACGTTGCCAGGTGGACACAGAGGTGTGGGTGCCTGGGTGAGAGGGCTTGGGGCACAACTGTCCAGCCCAAGACATTGCTGGGGTCTGTGCTGCCACCCAGTGGGACATCAGTGACTGGCATGGACCATCTCGGGGAGATTCAACTGCTATGACCAGGATGGATGCAGGACCAAAGGTCACGAATATCAAGAGAACACCCTAGGAGGTGAGCACTTAGAGCTGAGCTTGACAAAGAGGCACAGAGGACCCAGGGCTCCTGGTGAACCCACTCACTTTCCTCTCCATGTCTGATTTCCCCTGCTCGGCCTGCAGCGCCTTCCTCATGCCGAATGCCACACTGCTCTCGTACAAGGTCTGGTAGGCGGCAATGGTCATGCGGATCTCGTCCCGGACTCGAAGCAGCAGCAGTCCCCGCTCCGCACAGTTGATGGTGACCTCGCGGATCAGCTCATCTTCCAATGCACACACAGCCAGATCAGAGCAGGCAGGCAGGAGGTTAGATGCACCATGTCTACTGCAAACCGCCTTCCTACCGGGAGGAACTCTTACTCGGGAGACAACATTTCAGGGAAGGTCCTCAGTCCTCAGAGAGGTGCATCCTCTGCGTTTGGCCCTTGGGAGGACTACCTGCCAGCCCAGTTTGGCCAGGGCAGAGGGAGATGGGAGTCCTGGGTTTGTTTACAGCAGTGAGCCCCACCCTTACCATCCTCTGATAGGTGCTATTCAGAGAAATTTGCCCTTTTCGGTTTAAAGATGGTGGCTCTTCCAAAGCAGCGGGGAAATCCTGTGTGCCCCTAGCTGAACTGGTTTGGGGCTACAGAAAAGCATGGTCTACAACTTGCCCAGGTGGTGCAGTGGATTAAACATTGGGCAGCTAATGGAAAGTTTGGGGGGCTTGAACCCAACAGCCACTTCACAGGAGCAGGTTGAGGCTGTGTTTCCATAGTGATTTCCAACCTCAGACACAGCAGAGCAGTTCTACCCCGTTTTATAGGGTCGGTATGAGTCAGAATCAACTTGACACAGTGGATTTGGTTCTTTTGGTTTAGAGCTTGTCCTCCAGAGTATGAGTGGCACAAACAGTTAAGTGCTTAGCTACTAGCAGAATAGTTGGAGGTTCAAACCCACTTAGAGACAACTTAGAAGACTGGCCCAACACCTCACAGCCTTAGAAACCCTATGGAGCGCAGTTCTACTCTGCACACACGGATTGCCATGAATCAGAATCGACGTGGCAGCAACAAGAACAGAGCTTACCCACCCTTCTCCTCCATTAATGTTGACCCAGAGGGCCAGCCATAGCCAGACTCAGGGGAGCCTGTGGCTGGAGGGAATGTGTAGATCAGAGAGGCATGTTCAAGTGAGACTGGGCTGAAGAACAACACGCGACATCAGTCCTTGAGGGGGTAGATCTTAAATCCCATTGTCCCTTAGCAACTAATATGAGGGGGCTTCAAAATGTTCATGGAAATTTTCCATTATCTCTGAATTCCATTTTTCCATGAACTTTTTGAAGCCCCTTTTGTATTTTTTTCTGGACTAAGGGCCAAATGTTAACGAATGCATAGAAATACAGACATTTATTTTGTTGAGTAAGACATTAACACATATTCATTATAGAAGCAATAAAGATTTTAAATGAAATATATAGTGTATATATATAATGTTGTTGTTGTTAAGTGCCATCAAGTCAATTCTGACCCATAGCAACCCTGTATAGGGTTTCCAAGGAGCAGCTGGTGAGCTTGAACCACCGACCTTGCAGTTCAAACAACTTTGCAGTCTGACGCATTAATCCACATTGCCACACCAGGACTCCATGTATATATACATATATACATTGTTGTTAAGTGCCATCGAGTCAGTTTTGACCCATAGTGACCCTGTATAGGGTTTCCAACCTTGTGGTTCAAATTGACTTTGCAGTCCAGCGCATTAACTCACAGTGCCACACCAGGAGCCATATACATACATATATATATATACACACATACATACATATATATATAATATATGTGTGTATATACATATACATATATTGTTGTTAAGTGCCATGGAGTCAGTTCCGACTCATAGTGATCCTGCATAGGGTTTCCGAGGCTACAAATCCTTATGGGAGCAGACAGCCTCGTCATTCTCACGCAGAACAGCTGGTAGTTTCGAACTGCTGACCTTGAGGTTCGCAGCCCAATTCGTAACCACTACGCTACCAGAGCATATGTACATGTATATGTAAGGAGCTCTGGTAGCATAGTGGTTAAAAATCGGGCTGCAAACCTCAGGGTCAGCAGTTTGAAACTACCAGCTGTTCCGTGGGCACTTAACTACCATATACATATATATATATGAATTAATGGGGAGTTCAAAAAGTTCATGGAAAATGGAATTAAAAGATAATGGAATTTCACCATGAACTTACATATAATTTTCCACACAAAGTTCTTAACTTATCCCAAAATCTGGTAAAGAATAAGGCACCCGGGTTGCCAGGAAGACAGGGACTGGCAGGTGGGGAACTGATAGCGGCGGTGGGGCTGGGAGGGTAAGCAGCTCCAGGGTAGGTCAGGCACAGAGAGATAAGCTGGGTTCCAGCATGGCGTTCTCTGCTATGCTCTATGCTGAAGGGGAAGGCAAACAGGTAGTAAGGTACGGAGCGCAGCCAGTCCACTCACCGAAGCACTGTGAGTACAGCTCCCTGCGGACTGGGCAGATGCCTGTCTCACGGGCCTGTCGCTGCTGCAGCTTCAGGTCCAACTGCTCTTGGAGATGCACCACATCCATCCGGGTACTGGGAGTGCTGGACACTTGCTGGATCCATAGCTGAGTGTCTTCCACCCACTCCCTGAGGCACAGACACAGACCCACTGAGGGAGGGAACTCCACCAACCTGAGAAGGCCCTCAGGACAGGAGTAGAGAGGGAAGGGACCCACCTGGATCTCCCTTGGAGGACGTGCAGCCCCAAAGTCATACCTACCTACTTAGCTGCCTCCCCAGGGACCCTACTTTTGGGCTGGCCAATCTCCATTCCTCAAGAGTCCACCATGAAATCATCACCCACTCATCTAGACCACACCCTCCTAATGCGCTGAGCACAGACTGATGGCTCAGTGGGGATCCTCACCGGCTTGTTAGGTGAAAGATGCCACAGGACAGCACAGACCTTGTGCAATCCAGGATGAGGCCGCTGTGAGTACTGGGGAGTAGGGAGGGTGCTTGAAGGTGTGCGCCTGCACAAGGTGTCCCCATTCTGAAACTGTGCCAGAGGCATGGCCAGGCTCTGGAATCAGGAGAGCCTGAGGGTAGAAGCACCTTGGGGAGAGGACTTCTGTGCCACTGATGGAAGGAAACCAGTTGGGATGACACCCCCTCCTTTGGTCTCCATGTCCAAGGAAGACCACAGTCTCTCTTTTACTGTTTCCCTCTTTATCAGTCCCCGGGTAGGGTACATAGTTAAGCACTTGACTCCTCAATGGAAAAGTTGCTAGTGTGAAACCCCCCAGAGGCTCCTTGCAAGGTCTGGTGGTCTGTTTCCAAAATGTCATGGCTTTGAAAAACCTATGGAGCAATCCCACCCTGCACCTTTGGGGTCACCGGGAGTCTAAATCCACTCCACAGTTACTAACAACGTCTCATCATAGCCTTAAAAATGGTGCCTGATCAGAGCTCAACTAGAAGAAGAAAAAGAGGGAAAAAAGAGTAATCTGATAGAATTTGATGAACTTGACCTACACCTATGGATGCAGTAGTTCAAAAGAGGGAACAAATCTTTACAGTGAGGATCATTCCCAACCCCTCTATACACAGAGTAGATATGGATGAGCAACTTGGACATAGGCTACCCAAAATGGGGGGCAGGGGCGCTACAAAGGCAACAAGTGACTGACTTACAAGCTTTCAAGTGGGAACCTAGATCCAAAGGGCTCAGAGGAAGGTAGAATCCCCACTACCAATCTGAATAGTATCCAATCTGTCTTGGCAGGGCTAATGAAAGGAGATAGGGATAGGTCCCTTGTGGTACAATAGTAAATAATTATTATCAGGACTGACTGTGAGGATTGGACATGTAAAGGTGGACATTGTGTAGCAAAAGGAGGGGAGTGATTGACTATGCAGTCTAGGAGCCGAGGTCCCTGAAACCATCAAGAGAGAAGAGCGGAATGTGGGACCCCAACCAGAGAAGCAGTGATGCCAGAGATGGAGGCAGAGATGATGACATGGAGAGATGGAGCAACTGGGGATGCTAGACCCAGAGAGGAAGAGGGGCTGTATGCTGATGACCGGAGGGCAGGCTTGCAGGTATACCCTTTGGTGGGTTGATGATGCATGGAGTGGACTGTAACCATGGCAATGAAACAATATACAATAGGATGAATGTAGAGCTAATATTCTCCCATGTAAACCATCACATAATTCACAATAAAACATTAAAAAAAAAAAAAATGGTGCCATCTTAGTGGAATGTGGGATCCTATCCAGTGAAGAAGCAAGGACACCAGAGATGGAGGCAGAGTTGAGGACATGGAGACAGGGAATAGCTGAGGACTCTAACTCACGGAAAGGGAAGGACTGAGTACTGGTGACCAGGAGGCAGTCTTGCAGAATGTGCCCTTTGGTTGTATAAATTATTATATATATTCCTGAGTGTTTTGGGGTACACACCCCCCAAAAAAAAAAACAGAGGGAATAGAAGCAAATACTGTTGAATGATGATGCACAGAGGAGACTGTAAACATTGCAATGAAACGGTATAAAATCGATGTTCTCCCATGTAAACTATCACTCAATTCACAATTAAAAACTAAAAAAAAAACAAACCTATGCCATCAACTTATCAGAGTTGGAAAAGCATCGTTTTTGAAGGTCTTGCTCAGATGCCTCAACTTGTCCAACCACAGTCACACTTCAGAGGTACACTGGCCTCACTCTGGGCATGCCTGGATATTGGTCTCATTGGAAAGTTATGACTGTTTAGCCACTGTGCTGGCCTCTGCTGAGCCAACATAGGTGAATCCCCAAATCTGGGTGGCTCTTGCTTCAATATTGGTCAAAACAGCATCATCTCCCCTTGTGGGACGCAATGGATATCCTATCTCCAGCTACTCCATACTACACCATATGGGATGGTGACTGTCCACTGATAAAATCTCTTCCAGGGTTCCCTGCTGTCACATCACTAGCTTTTACACATTTTAACTGTCATCTACAGTCAAAATTAAAGTAAAAATTATGATAATACATACACACAAATGCATGTGCACAGAATAGGCTTTAGGAAACAAAAGTTTACCCTGGAGGCATGGGATATGCTGTCATTTTCTGTTTCTATATCCTCTTCTGTTCTGTTCTATCCTATCCTATTTCATTCCAGTTTTTAAATCTGGGAACTGATTCTCTACCACAACTTCATGGACTAACTGGGCCTCCAAGTACCTGTTTATCCACTAAGTCTCAGTTCTGGTGGCTCCCTTACCCACACTATTCCCTTTGGCCTGGAAGTGCTGTTCCCTCCACCCCGGAAGGTTCTCATTTGCCCAATTAAACTCCTTTCCCTGCTTCACGCCCGGTTCTTTCCTGACCCTCCCCCAAACAGATGACCACTCTGTGCCTCGCTGGACCTTAGGTGACTACCAGCAGGCTTGTGCCAAGTGTCTGTTTGCTCAGATGCTTTTTGTAGGATTTTGTACAAATTAGAATTTCAGCTCTGTAAGGCACTGTAACCTAAGCACTGGACTGCTAACCACAGTCGTGGTTTAAACCCACCAGCAGCTCCTTGGAAACCTTATCCTGGATCATTATGAGTTGGAACCAACTTGGCAGCACTTGAACAACAATCTTAACACATAGCATAATGCCTAGCTTATGGTAAGCAGTGTATTACTAGTATGTTGCTGTTGCTGTTAAGTGCTGTGGAGTTGGTTCCAACTCATAGCGACTCTGTACAGGGTTTCTGAGGGTTTAAATCTTTGTGGGAACAGGAAACCTCATTTTTCTTCTACGGAGTGGCTGCCAGGCTCGAACCACAGAGACCCTGTGGTTCACAGTCCAGTGCTTATAATATGAGCACACTTTTTTATTAGTATGTTGTTGTTGTTAATAACAGTGCCATCCAGTCATTTCTGACTCATAGAGACCCACCCTGTATAGGGTTTCCAAGGAGCAGCTGGTGGGTTTGAACTGCCAACCTTGTGAGATTAGCAGTCGAGTGTTTATCCTATAGTGCCACACCGGGACTCCCATTACTAGTATACTGACTCAAAAAAGTATGCAGCATATTAAAAGAAATTAATAAACAAATTAAAATATTTATTCCCAAACTAAAACACTCTGCCTGCAAAGCTAGAAACCCATGGCAGTAGCCAGATCTGCCTCTTGGGATGAAGACATGGATTTTGAATTCAACCAGATTTGGATTTGGCATCCAGCTCTGCCTCTTTAGCTCTGGCACACAATACTAGGGTTCAGTGATGCCCAGTTCCTCTCTCCATCCAAGATTCAAGAAGACTGTACTTCTCCACTGAAGTTCGACATGACCATGTGCAGAACAGCTAATGATTTATTGAAGCCCTTCTAGCCAAATTTTTCCATTCTATGATTTATTGTAAATCCTAGCCTCTATGCCTGTAACTGACGGATCTCTGGTAGTGTAGTGGTTACGAGTCGGGCTGCTAGCAGTTCGAAACTACCAGCCATTCCACAGGAGAAGAATGAGGCTTTCTACTTCCATAAATATTTACAGCCTTGGAAACCTATTCAGGGTCGCTATGAGTGGGAGCCAACTCCGTGGCATATAACCATCACCACCACCATGCTTGTGATTAAAAACCCATTTTGAAGGGAATTGCTAAGGAGTAAGAGTTAATGTGGGGCTAAAGAGTAAGGATTACAGTGAAACCAAGGATTAAGGATGCCCTTACTAGAGGGTGTGATTCAAGCCACCATCTTGAGTTTCCCTTGAGGTCATAGTCTGACTCCAATTTGTAGGACTATTTTGGAAAAGCTCACTCTCTTCCCCTGGCTCTTGCTTTTGGTTCACTGCATCTGACCTCCAGTTCATGAGACTTTCAGACCACCACCTGACCTGATGCATCAGCTCCTGCAGTCTGACCTGGTGATTTGGGTTCCTCAGCTCCTTAAGATTCCTTCAGACCAACCTCTGAACTACAGATTTGGGACTTGCAAGCATCCACAATTGCACGAGACATTTCCTTGGACAGTTTGAGTTTTGTGAGATGTTGTAGCATGCTGCAGAACCCTGGGACTTGAGGAAGGAGTGGTGATTGATACCAAGGACTACGGAATAGGATAGCATGTTGGAAGACGCAAACAGTAGGGATATCTTTCATCTCGAACTCATAGGGCCCAGCTTCATGCTGATTTTTCTCATAGAAATTATTCATGCACCATGTGACTGGATTTGGCCAATAAAAGGTGAAGCAGAAGTATTGTTTGTCACTTGAGGAAGCATTAAACTGTTGGCACTCTTCTTTCTCCCTCTTTCTTCTCGCTTCTTGGTAATCAGGAAAGAGCTCTGGGTGCATGTGAATACCTGACCAGGCAAGCAACTTGAAAATCTAACTTCTATTAATGGAATCACATTTTTCCAGAAACTTCTAAAAATAATTCATAGATGTTTTACTTATTTGCAATGAATACTGGAAGAGATTTGCTGAGGTTTATATTTCTCAAGCCAAAGGTAAGTGTTTTTGCAGGATATACTTTCATGAACATGATTCCCACAATTTGAAATGGAATGCCTTTTGGTGTACTGAGAATTCCAAGGTCATTCTTTCATTCAACAAATTATTTTATGAATGCTCACTCTGCATGCACTGGGGATACATTCAAGTCCCTGTTCTCATGAAGTTTATGTTACCATAGTTGGGGAAGGAGAGACTGACCATGAACCGATGGTAACAGGTCAGATGATGGTAAGTATGGCTGTGGAAGAATAAAGAAAAGCAAGGGGATCACATTGGGAAGGGGGTGCTCTTTTATGCAGGTTTCTTAAGGAAGGCTCATTAAGGAAATGACATTAGAGCAAGACCCAAGTAAAGCAATGGAGGCAGCAACCATTTAAGGTGAAACTATTGGTCTCTTCCCGTCCAGAGCAAGATGTGTGGAAACAATGAACCCAATGGACTAATAATAATGGGCCACGTGAACCTCAGTCACTATGACCCTGAGACCAGAAGAACAAGGTGGTGCCAACTACCACTACCAACTGCTCTAAAAGGATCATATTAGCTCTTGGCTAGAGTGGGAGACAAATGGAAAATAAAACTCAGAATCATAAAATAGACGGGTCAGATAGAGAGTAGTGAAACCCCCGAAATTATGGCCCTTGAGTCACCTTTAGGGTCTCGAGCTGAACTGAATTGTTTGACTCCCTTTTCAGGCAAACAATAGGTCTGTCTACAAGGTGAATAAGAACACTAAGGAAATAGGCACACCTTAGAATAACCAACTATTTGAGATCAAAAGGGCAGCAGTTACCCCAGGACAAAGTTCAGAAGGGTAAGGAAAGGGCGAACAGAAACAGGGAGGAAGTAGGATAAGTGATGCCGCATTTTGGAGAGTGCAATCAATGACATGAAACAAAATGTGTATGAATTGTCAAAAGGAAAACAGATTTGCTCTGTGAACTATCACCCAACTCACAAAGTTAAAAAAGAAAGAAATGGAAGGAACCATGTGGACATCAGGAGAAGAGCATTCACAGCAGTAGGACTAGCCACTGTCAAGACCCTAAGAAGGAAGAGTGACAGACGTGTGTCAGAAGCCACCCAAATTATAATAATTGGTCTCTATTCATGTGGAGCAGCACAGGAAGAAGGAGACCCGAAAGTCAAGAGAAGGCGCTGACTGCAGGTCCAATCGCTCCATGAACTACCACCTCTTGAACCATGAGACCAGAAGAAATGGATAGTGCCTACCTACTGTTTTTAAATATTTTGATCAAGGCCCCAGTAGATAGATCCTGATCAAAAAGAAGACAAGCATGGAAGCGAACTTGAAATTCATATGGAAATCAGTTTTCTGGATCTGCTGAGATTGGGGAAAACCCCCAAATCTATTGTCTGAAAACAATCTTTAAAGCTCCTCGAACTAAACTATGGCATGAAGTCACCATTAAATAACTATTGAGCTCAGTCAGTAAAGAAGTGTTGCCTTGAGCACTGTGCTCTTATTAAGAACTATTTATAAGTTGTTGTTGTTATGGGCCGTGGAATCGGTTCTGACTCATAGCGACCCTGTACAGGGTTTCCGGGGCTGTAAATCTTTACTGGAGCAGAAAGCCTCATCTTTCTCTCGCGGAACAGCTGGTAGTTTCCAACTGCTGACCTTGCGGTTCGTAGCCTTATTTGTAACCATTACGCTACCAGAGCTCAGGGGTTTAAATAGACACTGAAAGCACAGATGGGAATTTTAGGAGGCAGGGAATCTAAATTAACAGTGCTAAAACAATAGCGTAGTGGTTACGAATCGGGCTGCGAACCTTAAGGTCAGCGGTTCGAAACTACCAGCTGCTCTGCGGGAGAAACATGAGGCTTTCTACTCCCGTAAAGATTTACACCCTCGGAAACCCTGTACAGGGTCGCTATGGGTCGACGACACTTAACAAACAAAACAAAACCCAAAAAACAATAGGGGTAGAGACCGTGAGAATGGTGACACAATGTGAAATAAGTTAACAATGTCACTGAATTGTACATGTAGAAACTGTGGATGGATGGATGGATGGATGGATGGATGGATGGATGGATGTTTGCTTGTGCGTATCGCTACCAAAAAAGAAAGAAATAGCAAGCAGAGGCCTTGTGGCTTTAGCACAGTGAACATGAAGAGTCATAGGAGGTAAAATTATCAATGTATCATGGGCCAGAGCATGTCAAGTTGCCCAGGTCATGGGAAGGACTTTGGAATTTAGTCTTAAGTGAGATGAGAAGCCACTAGAGGGCTCTGGGAGGAGACTGGCATGATCTGACTTATGATTCATTATTGTTGTTGTTAAACGCTATTGAGTCGGTTCTGATTCATAGTGACCCTATCTAAGGTTTCTGAGGAGCAGCTAGTAGGTTTGAACTGCCGACCTTTGGGGTAGCAGTCAAGGCAGAGCTAAAGAATTTGATGAAGGATTAGAAGTGGTGTTAGAGGTGAAGAGGAATGAAAGGTGGTCTGAGCAGCTGGTAGAGTTACGAGTTACTGGAAAGGGGAAGACTGGAGATGAGTAGGTTGAGGATGGAAGAAATTGTGACTTAGCATGAACATGCTGAGTCTGAAATTCCTACTAGACATCTTCATGAAGATAATGAAGAAGTAGTAGACTATGTAAGTCTGAAGTTTAAAGGAAAAACACTGCTGGAAATACACATTTGAGTTGTTGTTATTGTTGAGTGCCATCCAGTAGGTTCCGACTCACAGCGACCCTGTATAGGATTTCCGAGGGGCAACTGGTGAGCTTGAACTGCCAACCCTACGGTTCAAACCGACTTTGCAGTCTAGCAGATTTCCCACAACACCACACCAGGACTTGCATTTGGGAGTCATCAGCATATTGTTATTGTTGCTAGCTGCTGTGAAGTCAGCCTCCAATTTAGAGCAACCCCATGCACAGAGGAACATCATCATTGTTTGCAGATGAGATCACTGCGGTCCACAGGGTTTCGCTGGCTGATTTTCAAAAGTAGATCATCAGATCATTCTTCCTAGTCTGGCTTGGTCTGGAAGCTTCCCTGAAACCTATTCAGCATCATAACATAATATAGCAGTGGCAGATGGGTGGTAACTGCAATGAGGTGTATTGGCTGGGAATTGAACCTGGGTCTCCTGTGTGGAAGTGAGAATTCTACCACTGAACCACCAGTGCCTCCTCATCAACATATCTCCTACCACCACCAGTTGCCACTGAGTTAACCTGACCCAAGGAGACTCCATGTATGTCAGAGCAGAACTGTGCTCCCAAGGTTTTCAGTGGTTGCTTTCCCAGAAGCACTATAGCTTTTCTTCTGCAATGCTACTGGGTGGACTCAAACCTCTGACCTTTTGGTTAATAGCTGAGGCCACTAACCATTTGCACTACACCTAAGGACTTTTCATCAGCATATGTTGTTGATAAGTGTCGCTGAGTTGGTTCAATCCAACTCATAGCAACCCTCTATAGGGTTTCCAAGGAGCAACTGGTGAGCTTGAACCACCAACCTTGTGTTTCAAACCAACCTTGCAGTCTAGTGCATGTTGTTGTTGTTAAGTGCCGTTGAGTATATTCCAACCCATAGCAACCCTTTAGAGGGTTTCCAAGGAGCTGCTGGTGAGGCTGACCCACCAACCATGCGGTTCAAACGACTTTTACAGTCTGACACATTAATCAGTATTTAAAGCCATGAGATTGAGTGAGAGGACTCAGAAAATGAGGGCAATTAGAGAAGCACCGCCCAACCCCACCCCAGGATCCAATCATCTGCAGGACCTATGAGCACTAGAATGCTGGGGGTAAACCCCAGCCAGGAAGCACCCTTTCCCACATTCCCTAGTTCTGGGATCCAAAAGCCTAGGCCTTCTCCCAGTCACTGCTCCTGTTTTTTACCTTGGAGGCAAGATGGCATTCAAGATTTCTTCTGCCTGCTTTGTAGGGTCTGGGGCACAGGAAGTTGAGGGGACCTTGGTCTTTGGTGGTTGTGGGACTGGACCCGAGGGTCCAGGCTGCTGGGGACTGACTTTCAGTGGCCGAGCCTGAGAAAAGGTGCAAATTAGGGCAGGAGGTGATTGAAGCATCGAGATCCATACATTCCAATCCCCTGGACTGCACCTCCTGCATTGTTGGTGTAAGTACCATCGAGTGGGTTCCAACTCATAGGACCCTTAAATTTTTATGGTAGGCGAAAGCCTCATCTTTGTCCCTCTGAGTAGTTGATGGGCTAGGACCATGGACAATGTGGTTAGCAGTTCAATGCTTCTCCTACAGTGCTCCCACACTCCTTTTCACCTCCTGAATATTCCTTCCCTATTTCCTGGTGTAAGAAGCTCTGGTAGCATAGTGGTTATGAATCGGGCTGCGAACCGCAAGGTCAGCAGTTCGAACCTACCAGCTGTTCCACGGGAGAAAGATGAGGCTTTCTGCTCCCATACAGTTACAGCTTTGGAAACCCTGTACAAGGTTGCTATGAGTCAGAACCGACTTTATGGCACATTAACAACAACAACAACAATTTCTTGGTGTGGCACTGTGGGACTGCAAAGTCGTTTGAACCACAAAGTCAGTGGTTCAAGCTCACCAGTCGCTCCTTGGAAACCCTATACAGGGTCGCTATAGGTCAGAATCGACTTGACAGCACTTAACAACAACAATAATTCTCAGCTTACTTTCACCTCTATCTCTTTGGCAGAAGTTTGTCTTATTGCTGAAGGCAGCCATGAAGAGTTTCTGGTCCCACCACAAACCAATGCTTGCATCCCAATGAACATTTTTGGCACGAGTGCTCAGTCATCTGCTTTCATACTTCTAGTGATGGGAAAAATCACTACCGCATCTAGTCCTGGACCCTCACTACAATGAAAGAGTGAGCCCGCCCCATCCACCTACCTCTGACTTCCTTCCCCATCTGAAATGTGCACTCAAGTGTCACACCCAACGTCTGGGCTTCTTGTATTCTCTCCCACTTTCCTTGTCTCCTCCCAATCCCCTTTACTCTCAGTTGCTGATTTCCGGACTATCAAAGCTGGGATCTGTCTTTCCCCATTGAAGCTTCCAGGCTTTCTCTGGCCCTCCCAATCTGAAACCCGTTCTTACTTTGGGACTCCGTTTCTCTGTGTTCCGGCTCACCAACACCGGGGTGTCATATTTGAGCAGCGAGTCCGCTGGGGGAATCATCGCGGTGGCTGAGGTAGTAACGCAGAAGCAGCCCCTCCAGTCTAGGCCTTGTTTGCCGTTACCATGGAAACCTCCACTCAAGGCCTGGGCGGGGCTTCAGAGTGGGGCGTGGCCCGCGGTGCGTAAATTTCCTTCCTCCTCCCAGCAATCCAGGAACGTTCTCCTGGTGTTTGGGTTACTTGGGTTACCTGTTCATCACGTCACTCTGGGACTTTTGAAAGTAGGTAAAACGTGGATTCGAGTCCCCATGTTGCGAATGAGCAGTTCACCTTTGCTGATTCTTTCCTGCAAAACGGGAGAGTTGTCTCCTGACTCATTGAAGGTTGGGGAAGGAGTCTCCCAGACTTTTGTTTCTGAGTCTTTTTTTCAGTTTAGTTTGTTTTGAATTAAATGGAGATAATGGAAGCACTGCAGAAAGTTTCAGAAATATAGTGAAAATAATCATTTGTCCACGGCCCACTATCTATGACTGCATTTCCCTTTCCTCTATGAGTTTCTAAACGTCCATGTAATTCATTTGCACAAATTTTGTATCCTGTTTTTTAAAACAAGTTTGTTTGTTTTTTTCCATTTGCCATACAAATTTCCCCTACTATCTGAAAGCAGAGCCTTCCTACGAAACCTTTCATGAGGCATACAGCGAAGAAGTAATTACCACTAATTTATGTGGGACATTTTTTAAAGCGTTCCCAGGCTGAAAACAAGAACTTACCAAATCATACCAAATAATACCTAAAACATAAAATAATACCAACGAATAGTAAAAGCAGAAATGATATGATAAATACACAGCCTATGTAAAGTAGAAATCATATGTGTGGCGATGTCATTTCCTGGGAAGACTGATGATAGCACTAGCGTTGCTCGAGAACATGCTGCCTCTTTAACGGCTGCTTTGTTTTTTGTTTTTTTTTTCATTAGAATGAAAATCCTCTTTGGATTTCATTGCGGTTAGCCAAAGCAAGTAGTAATGTAGGTCTTTCGTAAAAGCAAAATGGCGTCGTAAAGCGATCTGTAAAAAAGATGCAACAGAACATGCCGTCAATTGGGTAAATCATTCTCTTGTTGTTGTTAAGTGCAGTGGAGTCAGTTTCGATTCATAGTGAGCCTGTCTAGGATTTCCGAGGAGTGACTGGTGGGTTTGAACCGCTGACCTTGTGGTCCAGTGCATTATCCTACAATGCCACACGAGGCCTCCAAACAATTCTCTAGTGCTTGGCATTAATTTGCATCTGTGTTTTGCCTGTTGTGATGCTGTAGAACAAGCACTAGGATGCTAACCTGCTGGCGGTTCAAACCCACCAGCCGCTCCTCGGAAACCCTATATACAGTCGCATAGGGTCAGAACCGATTCAAAGGCATATAACAACAACAGCAGTAAAGGCGGCCAGAGCCTTGAGAGCATAGCCTTTTCTAGATGTTTGTTTTTGAAACTTAAAATTGCCGCCTCTAGAGTCAGTCGCTACGGCTCCGCCCTCTAGGCGAAGTCTGTCACGTGTTTAGTGCCGCCGCTGCCGCGAGGACTTCTGGAAAAACGGAAGACCCGGAAGCGGAAGTCAAGGACTTATATACGTCAGTTCCTTCAGCGAGCTCAGCTCCGCCGACCTGTTTCTTTCCTCAACCAAGATCCCGGGATGAAGGAGGTGAAGAGCGAACGGGAACGGGGAAGTCGTCGAAGGCACCGAGACGGGGACATGGTGGCGGCGACGGTGGTGGTGAAGCAGGAACGCCTCAGCCCGGAAGCTGTGCCTCCCACCCACCGCCGCTCGGACCCCTGCCATAGCCCGTCCTCACCCGCCGGCGAGCCGGGCCGCCCGGGTCACCGCGGGAGCCGAACCCGTGGAGGCAGCCGGTAAGTGGGGAGCAGCCTGGGATGGACCTTGGGAGAACAGGGCGACTCAATTCTGAAGGCGCTGGGAGTGACCCGGTCGGACTGGGTTAAAGACTTATTCCAGCGTCTGTCACTTGCATTGTAGCTGGGCGTGTAGCACATAGCGGGCACAGGGACATAGAAAAATGGCCAGTGCGGGTGGAGCATACTGATCTAGAGAGAGGAAGGTTGGAATGGGAAGGGAAGAGGAGCGCGAGAGTCTTAGGACTTGATGGATTGAATGCTATTGTGTGTGTGGTGTTAACGGAAAGCAAAAAAAGATTCAGGGTGACGTTTAGGTTTTGTGTTTAATGAAGAGGCTTTGTTCTTGTTAAGTGCCATCAAGTCGGTTCCGACCCATAGCGACGCTGTACAGGGTTTCGGAGGAGCGGGGCTGGTGAGCTTGAACCGCCAATCTTGCGGTTCAGACCGACTTTGCAGCCCAACGCATTAACCCAGACAGTGCCAATTACCTAGATGGGCGAGAAAAAAGGCTGAGGGCTTGGGTTGTCATATAATTTAAGGTGTGCCGCTGAGGATGAAAGCACTGGATTGTGAGGTCTGTTTGAACTGCAAGCTCGGCGGTTCAAGCTCACCAACAGTTCCTTGGAAACCCTATACAGGGTCGCTATGAGTCAGACCGAGTAGACGGCACTTAACAACAACAACAACGCAAACCCACTGCCATCAAGTTCATTGCAACTCCTGTCAACCCTATAAGACAGAATAGAACTGTCCTATAGGGTTTCCAAGACTACATGCTTACCGAAGCAGACTGTCATATCTTCTCCCGCCACTGGGTTCAAAGTGCCGACTTTTTAGTCATTTACATATGTCATCTGGAACTCAAGGGGGATGGTAGGGTGAGGGTAGGAAGCTGCTGAATCCTTTTCTGTCATTCGTGAAGACTTTCCCAGGTGTGGTGTTTCTGTTGGTAGGCAAGTCGGAAGTTAGTTGCTGTGGGTAAAGGAATGTTGAGAAAAAATCCTGAGTGTGCTATGCTCTGAAAAGGTCTCCAGCCAAAAAGAAAAGTAAGTCCTCAGGAAGAAGAAGCAAGTCTCCTCGGAGTAAGAGAAGCCGAAGTCCTCACCACTCAGCAGTCAAAGTGAAGCAGGTGAGTTGGATTGGGATGTTTCAGTACTAGGTCTCAGTCAAGCCTCTTCTCATCATAGTTGGTGTGTATATTTGTGTGTGTTCACCTGTACCTGCAAAGGGCTGTTCTTACAGATGTTTGGAAGGGAGAATATTTATATTTAATTAACCCATTTATTTTGTGTGGCACTCTGGGTTAACGCGCCAGACTGCAAAGCTGTTTGAACTGCAAGGTCGGCAGTTCAAGCTCACCAGCTGCTCCTCAGAAACCCTATACAGGGTCGGCACCGACTTGACAGCACTTCACAATAACAATTTATTTTGAGATCATTGTAGATTTACATGTATTTGTAAGAAATACACAGAGAGGTGTACTCTTTACTGTGTTTTCCCCAATGGAGACATCTTGCAGAGCTATAGTCCACTATTGATGTAGTTGAGAGACAGAACATTTTCATCAGCACTAGGAGCCCCTTGTTCCCTTTTACAGCCACATCGCTTCTCTGAGCCTCCATACTCCTGGCAACTATTGATTTGTTTTTCATTTCTATAATGTATCATTTCAAGAATGTTCTATAAATGAAATGACTGTTGTTAAATGTCATTGAGTTGGTTTTGACTCATAGCGACCATGTCTAGGGCTTTCAAGGTTTTAAGTCTTTGTGGGAACAGAAAGCCCCGCAAGTGGAATTATATAGTATGTAGTATTTGGGCAATGGCTTTCTTTTACTCAACAAGATTCTTTAGTGTATTCAGGGTGTTGTGTCTATCAGCAGTTCACTTCCTTTTATGGCTGAGGAGTATTCCATGTTTGGGATTTAAGATAGTCTTAACCATTGACCTATAAAAGAATATGTGAGCTGTTTCCAGTTTTTGGCTAGTATGTACTAAGTTACTAAGTAAAGTATTATAATACTTGCATGTTTAATTTTTGAAGAAACTTCCAAACTTTGCTGAAGTGGCTAATACTGTGTTACATTCCCATTTCGTCTCATCCTCCCCAGAAGTTGATACTGTCAGTGTTTTTTATTTTAGCCATTCTGGTGTATAGTGATATCTCCTTATTTTAATTTGCATTCCCCCAATGGCCTTCGGTGAGAGCTGCATCTCAGGGTAAAGAAAACAAAAATCCTCACCACTGGACCAATAAACAACATCCAGATAAATGGAGGAAAGATTGAAGCTGTCAAAGATTTCATTTTGCTTGGATCAGCCATCAACACTTATGGAAACAGCAGTTACGAAATCAAAAGACGTACTGCATTAGACAAATCTTCTGCACAAGACTTTAGAGTGTTGAAAAGCAAAGATGTCAGTTTGAGGACTAAGGTGCAACTGACCCAAGTCATGATATTTTCAATAACCTCATATGCATATGAAAGTTGGACATTGAGTAAGGAAGACTGTAAAAGAATTTGGGTTATGGTGTTGAAGGAGAATATTGAAAGTACCATGGGCTGCCAAAAGATCTGTATTGGAAAAAGTACAGCCAGAGTACTCCTTGGAAGTCAGGATTGCCAGACTTTGTCTCTCATACTTTGGGCATATTATCAGGAGGGACCAGTCCCTGGAGAAGAATATCATGTTTGGTAAAGTGGAAGATCAGAGAAAAAGAGGATGATCCTCAACGAGATGGATTAGCACAGTGGTGGCAGCCATGGGCTCAAGTGTAGCGACAATTGTGAGGTTAGCACAGGAACGGGCAGTGCTTCATTCTGTTCTACACAGGGTCACTGTGAGTCACTACAACACTTAATAACGACAGTGGCTGATGAGGAGTCCTGGTCAGTGGTTCAAGCTCACCAGCCACTTGGAAACCCTATTCAGGGTCATTGTGCATCTGAACCAACTCAATGGTAGCAACAACAACAATGGCTAATGACATTGAACATCTTTTCATGTGACTATTTGCACTCTGTATATCCTCGTAGGTGGAAATACGTCTTCCTGTCTTTTGTCCATTTTCTAAATGTGTGTGTGTTTGGTTTTTGTTTTTGTTTTACTGTTGACTCTGGTAGCGTAGTGGTTATGAATCTAGATGCGAACCTCAAGGTCAGCAGTTTGAAACTACCAGCTGTTCCGTGGGAGAAAGATGAGGCTTTCTGCTCTCGTAAAGATTTACAGCCTCGGAAACCCTGTACAGGGTCGCAATGAGTCAGAACTGACTCCACGGCACATAACAACAATAACAGCATTGAGTTTTGAGAGTCCTTTGTATATTCTAGGAGCCCTGGAAGCATTTTTCAATAAGCAGTGAACTGCTAACTGCCAGGTTGGCAAATGACAACCATCAGAGTGAAAACTTAGCAGGAGAGGAAGGATAAGGGAAGGATGAGATGAATTGGAGACAGTAATTTAAAAATGAAAACAAAAAAACTTTTGAATTTTATTGCAAAGAAGAGTAAAGAAATTGGGTGGAAGTTGGCATGGGCAGGGGAATCTAGGCATAGGAAGAGGAAGTCCCTAGGTCGATGGGAGTGATCCAGTAGAGAGGGGCAATAGATTGTGAAAGAGGCAGGAGAGAATTGCTGGAATAATCTTCTCAATATGGGATTGAATCACATTTGCGAGTGTGGGAACGTGCTTTCGATAGAAACACAGATAGTTCATTTATATTCACATGAAGAGAAGGCAGAGTATATGGGTACACATATTGGTAGGTGGGTAGATGTGGAATAGCTTTCTAGCTGAGTGAATAAAGAGGAGGGTGCATGTGGTGGAGCTTAGATGAGCAATAAGGGCTGAAACAGTCATCTGGAAGAGTGGGCGAGTGAATGGGTCAAGGAAATGTGGGGTGACTGTTGGGCTTCCTCTATAGATGGGACTGGTCAGAATTATTTGTGCTTTCCTCCAGCTACATTCAGCTGCTTGTTGCAGGTTGTGATTTTGCTGAGCAAGTACAACAAAATGATAGACAAGGCATTTGAATGTGTGGATAAAGGAGTAATGATTCGCTTGACCATGGAATTTTAGTTAGGGCATAGAGACCACCTAGAGAATAAAGAACTGTGTAAAGGTGGTAGGGTCAAAGGAGTTGATGTCATGTTAGGGTAGAAGGATTATTGGAGTAAAATGTGAGCTGGAAAGTAAATAATGATCAAAAAGAGAGCTGATAGAAATTGCAATTATAGAGGGACTGCAGTCCTTGGTAATGAAATGTTTCTGTTTAACCATGGAAGTGGGTAGCTGTGGTGGAGGGAGGACAGATAACATGTTTGGGAGAAGAGCTCAAAAGACAGAGAGGCCAGCATGTTGGAGGACCTCCCACTGAAATCACCAAGAGTAACTGAATAATGTGGTTTGAGTTAGAAGTAAAATTGGCAAGAAAGGAGAAGAAGGCCTCTTGTGAGATGACAGCATTAATGAGAATAGTGAAAGTGCTGGTGCTGCTGGTCCTAGGAGTTCAAAGCTAGGGTGTTTCAGGGAGAGCCAAGCTTGGGGAGAGTTTAAAATTGGCCCAAGGATGAGAGTCAGGGAACTGTGGGGGGAAAACAGCTACCAATTCAGAGCACTTCAGGGAAACAGCCTTAGGGCAGAGAAAGGGTTCTGCTAGCAGAAACTGTCAAGGGAAAGGTTGAGCTTATTTTGCTGACCCTTTAACTCCAGAGAGTTAGCTAAATGGTTTCAGAAGTTGAAGGGTGGAGATGGGATAGTGGATATACAGAACCTTGTGGGAATTAGAATACATATGTAGGGGTAATGACCAGGAGGGTGGCTTCTTGTGGTGGTACACTGAATATGGGATAAAGGGCATAATGAATTTAGGTCTGGTGCTTTCGAAGCGCAGATAGTGGTGGCAAGCTTATAAATGTTTTGGAGTAAGGAGGAGTGGGTGTCTGAGGTACCTTGTTGGCAGCAGTCTTTGAGGCAAGAAAATCTAGAGAAACTAAGTCTTACTCTGAATAAGCAGGACCCCCTTGACCCCTGTGTATGGCAGGGAGGAGGGAGAAGAGTGATAGTTTTTGCTACTGTTAAAGTGGGATCTTTTTAAATGATTACATTTTCATTATTGGTGTAAGAGAAAGCTAGCATTTTTTTTTCTTTATGTAACTATCTTCTTTCCTTCTTCACCCCCTTGCAAGTTAGTTTGGAGCAAATCCAAGGCATAGTTCATTTTCAACACATGTCTCTTAAAAGCTACGCATTCTTTTAAAAGTCATTAAAAATTCATTATTGTTAAGTTCCATCAAGTTTGCTCTGACTCATAGTTACTCTGGAGTGACACTATAAGTACTGCAAGGTCGGTGGTTCAAACTCACCAGCCACTCCTTGGAAACTAGACACAGGGTCCCTATAAATCAGAAACAACTGGACAGACAATACTTAGCAACAACCCATACTGAAGACTGTAGTCTTTGATCTTCAACAGCAAGTGCCTCAAAACCTCCTCCCTTTCAGCAAGTAAGCTTTTGTCATCTGCATAGCACAGGTTTTATTTTTTTAATTAAAAAACATTAAGTGTTTTCTTTGATTATCAGGGAGCTAACAATTATAAATATATATGTATAACAACAGAGCTCTAAACCACATAAACTATAAACGGTAGAATCAAAGGGGAATATCAGCAATTTGACAAAAATCATTGAAGTTCTCAATACCCCCACTGTGATACTTCAAATAATGCCCCCAAAGTTGTCCATGCCCTGTACCTAAAACCTATAAATGTGTTACTTTTTTTTTTAAAACCTCTGTGCGCTTTATTTTTTATTTAATTTTTTACATTTATAAAACAAAAAATATATATTCATGTAAATGTCCAAAGGACACATTCTGCCAGCCAGTCTCCTGCATATAGGCACACAGCCTTTCTCAGTCCATGGACCTAGAACCCACAACTGCTCTGTCTCTCCATGCCACCGCCTCTGCTGTTGCTGCTTTTCTCACGCTCCACTCATGCTCTTCCTTCTTGATGGTCCTGGGATCATCTGTTCCTGAAATGAAAGGTCAGCTACTCCCCCTTTTTGTTACACATCTTCTGCAATTACAGTTGTTATCATAGGTTACTAAGCCTTTCTCAAATCCTGTTCTTCATCTAGTCCAGCTTCTTAGTGAAAGTATACAACCCTGATGCACACCTTTGCTAATTTTAAACCACACAGTATCCCCTTGTTCTGTTTAAATAACTGTCTTCTGGTCCATGTATGGATTCCAAATGAACACAGTTAAGTGTTTTGGAATGCCCACTTATCTCAGTGTTATCCTTATAATGATTCCTTAGCATCATTAAATAGGTAGTCAGTGTTCAGATTTCTGTGATTGGCTTGTGATTTTTATAAAAGTTAATCTTTTCAAATCAGGATCAAAATAATAAAGTCTACACATTACAATTGGTTGATGCTTCTCTTAAATGTTTTTATCTTGTAGGTTCTTGTTTATTTTTCTTTATAATTTATTTGTAACTTACATCCCTGTGGAATCATTTAAAACATTCCACTGAGTCTTTTATTTCCTATAAACTCATAGCTAGATTCAGAGTTTTGTCAGTTTCAGTGTTGTTTTTGGGTTCTTCTACACCCCTTTCTACCCCCCTCCCCAGCCCCCTTTCTGTTTTTTACCCCTTCAAGCATAAGCATATCTTTCCTTAGAAGCTGCTGTGTATTTCTATCAGGAGGCATATAGTGTCTGATTGCCTCTCTTGGTGCCTTGGTGGTCATTTTTTCAGTCTCGTTGCGTGCTATTAAAAATTTCCCTTTTGTGTCTATCAGCCTCTTTATGTACCAATCAATGTTAATCTGTATTTTAGAAGACTCAGTGTCTAGAGCTCTCCAGATCGAAATCTGAAGGATTGTTTCAGTTCCCTCTCACTCACAGTAGCTTGTTTCCTAGTTTCTATTTTTCTTTGAGTTCATGCTTTTTGTGTTGAGTTGAATTATAGTGAAAAGACCCCTTAGAGTATCTGGTGTGACTTATTGGTAAAGGCAGGAATGTTTATATGCATTGTGATACTTGTGTTCCCACAGACCCCTTTTCTTCTCGCCACAGTTTATTCTGGATATCTTTTTATATCATTATCTCTTCCTTTTTATGAGGTATCCTTTTTGCATGAAGGAGCTCTGGTAGACTAGTGGTTATAAATTGGGCTGCTAACTTCTAGGTCAGTGGTTCAAAACTACCAGCTCTTCCACAGGAGAAGATGAGGCTTTCTGCTGCTGTAAACATTTACAGCCTCGGAAACCCTGTACAGGGTCTCTATGAGTCGGAACCGACTCCATGGCACACTACCACCACCACCTTTTTTGTATGGGTGCATAATAATTTATTTAGCCATTCTATTAGTGAGAGACCTTAGGATGTTTCTGGAGTCCTGGTGTGGTCAGTGGCTCAAACTCACCAACTGCTCCTGTGGAGCCCTATACAGGAATACTATGAGTCAGAACTAACTTTGTTTCCAATATTGTAGACAAGATTGCAATAAACATTATGTTGCACACATCTTTGTGAATCTTCGCTAGTATATCCATCGATAGGCTACAGTCCTGTGAGTGGAATAGTACCAGGTAGGCCGTGCCAATTTACACTTGGTCAGCAGTGGCTAAGAATATCTATTTTCCTGTACTTTTTAGCACTAAATATTACTGATCTCTTAAATTTTGTTAATTTGCAAAGAGAAATTTTATATTTTATTTAAAATTGATGCTTTGGGTATTAGTGAGCTTGAGTATACCTCCATGCATTTATTCTGATTTATATCTTGTGAAAATTGCTTATTAACATCCTTTGCCCATTTTTTTAAATAGAATTGTTGGTTTACTTTCTTAGTGATTTAGTTAGTAGTCCAATATAACGTGGTGTATACATTTTCCACTAGGCTGTTTTTCAGTGTGCTTTCCAAAATGCCATGGCTTGTATGTCTGTTCCTTTCAGTTTTTAAAAAAAGATCTTTTAGTAAATTTTTGCAATTTTGATATAAACGTTTTGCATAAGTTTATTTCTAGGTATTGAATAATTTTTGTTTTAGCAGTGAAGTAGGATTTTTAAAATATATCACATTTTCATTGTTGACATAAAGGAAAGCTGGTTTTGTCTTCCCTGACATATTGACCTTATGCATGCTACTTACATCTCTGTTAGTTCCATTTTCTGTATTGTAGTTGTTAAGTGCCATTGAGTCCGTTCCAACTCATAGCGACACTGTACAGTTTCCAAGGAGCAGCTGGTGGGTTTGAACCACTGACCTTGTAATTCAAACTAACCTTGCATTCCAGTGCTTATCCTGAAGCGCCACATCAGGACTCCTTTGTCTGGATAGTCTTCCCTGTAAGTCTGCCTTCTGTTATCATTGTTCTGAAAGGGAAAGACTTAGTTTTATTTCTCTTTTCTGTATCCTGGGCTCGTACTACCAGAGCTATAGTTGAGTAGCATCATTGGCTACATGGTCTTTGCAGCATGGTAAAGGGAACATGTCCACCCCAGATGACCTTTCTGTGGAAAATTTGATTTTGAACACCAGTATCCAAATCACAAATGAGCTTTTGAGTGCAACTTGTTTTAGATTGTGGGCTGCCTTTACTGTATTGAATCTGTATTTCTGAATATGTGAATTTTAGGAACGTGAAGATCATACCCGGAAAGGACGGGAAGACCGGCAGCACAGGGAGCCATCAGAACAGGAACACAGACGAGCTAGAAACAGTGACCGAGAGAGACACCGAGGCCATTCCCACCAGAGGAGAACCTCAAATGAAAGGCCTGGGAGTGGCCAGGCTCAAGGACGGGATGAAGACATTCAGAACTTGCAGGCTCAGGAGGCAGAGAGGGAGTTTTATAACGCTCGACGCCGGGAGCATCGCCAGAAGAACGAAGGTAACGGCCAGGGTCATGGGTCTCAAGAGCTGGCTCCTCGACCTGACGGCAACAATAAGGAAAAAGAGCTTCCTGCTAAAGAAAAGCCTAGTTTTGAACTCTCTGGAGCACTTCTTGAGGACACCAACACCTTCCGGGGGGTAGTCATTAAGTATAGCGAGCCCCCAGAAGCACGGATCCCAAAGAAACGGTGGCGTCTCTACCCCTTTAAGAATGATGAGGTGCTTCCGGTCATGTACATCCATCGACAGAGTGCCTACCTTCTGGGTCGACACCGTAGGATTGCAGACATTCCTATTGACCATCCCTCTTGTTCTAAGCAGCATGCAGTATTTCAGTATCGGTGAGTACACCTTTGTAGAAAGAGACAAATGCTGGCAGAAGCCTAATGTCTCAGTTAGGTAGAATTACTGGGCTCTGTGTTCACCTGTATGCAGGAGAATCCCAGACCCCACATATCTAATATCTACCTTGAGAATTGTGTATCTAATTGATTGTCCTTTAAATAACCCCTTGCATTTGTATAGGACTTCTGGTGTGGTGCTGTGGTCCAGCACTGAACTGGGAACCACAGGTCAGTAGATCAAACCCACTGCTCCTTGGAAATTCTAATCATGGTCACTATGGGTCAGAACTGACTCCATGGCACTTAATAACAACAGCAACATATTTAGGTTAAGAGCACTAGATTTGGCATTTAAAACTCAGAAACTCCTGCTACTGCCACTTACCAGGTTTTGGCCTAAGCAAGCCATTCTCTGGGTCTCAATTTCCATCTGTTCTATAGGGCTATTCTGAGGATTAAATGGGAATGTAACTGAAAATGCTTGTCCTTTATAGTTACATAGTACAGCTGTTACACAACAGTGCTATGAATTGGGGTTAGAACATAAGTGTAAACTGCCTCCAACTTCCTTGATCCAAGGCCATTCTGTTCTTGATTTCCTAGAATTTTTATTTAAATTGTGTTCAAACCACATTAGAGTATCATGTAGACTGTCAGCAAAGAGTCTTAGAGAGGCTTGATGACTGGAGGCAGAATTTGCTCATGTGCTCTCTTATCTCTGCTAGGTTGGTAGAGTACACTCGTGCTGATGGGACAGTTGGCCGCAGAGTGAAGCCCTACATCATTGACCTGGGCTCCGGCAATGGGACCTTCTTAAACAACAAGCGCATTGAACCACAGCGCTACTATGAGCTGAAGGAAAAGGATGTGCTTAAATTTGGGTTCAGTAGCAGAGAGTATGTCTTGCTTCATGAGTCCTCTGACACTTCTGAAGTAGACAGAAAAGAAGATGAAGAAGAGGAGGAGGAGGAGGAAGTATCCGACAGTTAGCAAACTAATAAATGACTCAAACTATTGAGACCATTTCCTTCTTGGAAGACTTTGGGATTGACTCCAAGGGCACCTTGGTGCTCTCTGTAATGCCTCTTATTGCCTTAAGTCTTTCCTCTGTTGCTGACCAGCTTGTGTTCCAGTTTAAGAAAACAGACTTATAATATTTGATTGAACTTTTTTCTGTGGCACATCAGCCATGTCCATGCCTGTGGTGATTGTCTTCAGAACATTCTCACCATTTACAACACATCGTGGTTTAGTAGAAGCGTTCATGACTTTAGTTGGTGCTTTTAAAACTGCTGCCTAGGAACCTGTAACCTTTGGTTAAAGGAGGAAGTGTGGCTTGTTCCTCTTTGTACAGTTAGTTTATTTATGTAGTTGTTAAGTCTTGTGGACCAGGTTTTGTTTTTGTTTGGGGGAGCAAAGCCTTGAAGCTTTGGTTATCACCCAAACAGCCTCCAGTATATACCAAAGCTTTGGCCTGGTTGAGCTCTTGAGTCATAGAAGTTGATTTTGCACATGGTTTAGGAGAGCTGGAAATCTACCACATGACCTCATTACAGACTGTTTAACTTTCTGGGGCAGGCGGAAGCATGTGATTGGACAGGACGATCATGACTACTTGCCAGCAGGTGCTGATTGCATGTCGCGGAAGACTGGAATGGGTCACATGGATCTGTTTCCTATGTGAGGATTCCGGATTTCTCCATGGACATAGAATATACATAATGATTTTGATCATCTTTTTCTTCAACTTTGCATTTTCATTTCAGATGTTCATCTTTTTTTCTTTGAGAAATACAAGTGTCACTCATGTGCAAGGTCTTTGTCAATCATAACAACATGTGTATATGTCCAAAAGAGCTCATGTATTTTACATGTTTCATCTTTGGAAAAAAATGTTCAGAGGTTGGAAAGCAGGGGAATTGGCCAGTTTCCTAATTTTCTACCAGAGGAATGTGTGTAAGTAGAAAAGTATTGTCTACTTACATAGCTATTCTGTGTGTGTGTATATGTGTATATAAACATTTGTGTGAAAGAGCTGCATAACGATTTTCCTATGAGAATGTTATGTGATGTAATTGTAATACTATGTTATAGGCAAAGGCCTCCCTGCATTTGAAGAGCAGGTTTTCCTTTATATGTATTTTTTGGGACAAAAGTAATAAAATTTGTAAATGAAGCCTCATTTCAAAGGGAAATACTTTCCTACCATAGAGTACCTTGCACTAATAGAACTGTTTGCTGCTAAAGGAGTCTCTGTCTCTGCATTTTCTATGTAAGAACAGGTGATTGTGTAGAGAGCATGAATCCTAAAAGCAGAGCTGCCACCTGCACTGGAATCCAGATCTTTCCAATGTGAGTGAGTGAGTGTTGTTCATGTGGAAGCAGCAGTGCTTTCTGAACTAGTAAAGAGTTTGTCCTTCCCAGAAGTCACAATGTGGAGCACATTCTACATGGCTGTCCTCTGTATCAGCGAATGTTCTCCCTGCATTTCAAATTCACCCTCAGGTGGTGGGAGAGGGGAGGAGAAAAAGGAAATTAACAGAACTCAGTCACTGATGTTACTATTTCTCTTGGGTTGAAATGTGTGATACTATTTAAATTAGATGGTCTTTTCCATTGTTTTTGTCTTATGGTCTCATCTGCCTGTATGTGACTAATGAATGACCTTAAAAGGTCCCCTTTGAAGAGGAAATACTTAATAAGGTCAATTAAATGCTCTTCGTCTACCACTATAATTGCTATGCTACATGTGCCATAGATCACATATTACATATGTGCTTAGCTAAAAAGTAGATTTGGTTTTGATGAAATTTTCTACCTAGCATCTCCAGGCTTCCTTGTTTGTGCGGCTACGGCTGCTTCCTGGTAGCCTTGGACTTGTCTTCAAGCACCATCCTGGTGTACACTTTGCCTACAATTTTCAATAAAAGGTCCTAAATGTATATACACTTTTGCTTTAGTAAAGGAAGAGCTGCCTAGATTAAGAAATTCTTCACAACAAACATCTAAAAAGGTGGGTTATTTTTTCCCCGCCTGTCTTTCCCCATTTTTTTTTTTTTTTTAATTCAAAGAAGAGTATCAAAGACAAGATACCCCCCATCTCCAAAGCCAGCTATCACCACCAGCAGACTTCCCATTTGAAGTTGGCACAATCCTAAGACTTTTCTTTTTGAATTATTCCATTCTATTTGGAAACTCTTGTTCATTTTAGCTATTTACAGCTTCTTCCTTCTACAGCTTTTTTCCAAGCTGGCTTGTGTGCAAAGCACTGCTGTTAAAACCAAGCTAACTGCGAGACAGTCCCTTCCTCTGCCAACTCTTCTGTGACAGTCCACAGTCCTGTTGCAATATGGGGCAGAATCCTAGAACTAGTCATCTTCTAGTTCTCCCTAACATTTACAAAGGACAGCTCATGAAGTCCAGTGGGTGATGGTGTAACTTTCAAATACTGCTGTTGTGCTCTGTTGTTACTAAAGTGAAGGAAGAAAACAGTTCAGATCTTATATATTATTGTGTATGCCAGTATAAAACAACTTGGCTTTAAAAGGCTTAGAACTTAAATACGTATGCGTGTGTGTGTGTAATGTATTTCAGTTTGATTATCATTTGATAGGGAGCATATATGGCTTTATTTTTTAACATCGTACCCTTTGTGGAAATTAGTTATGAATCTAAAAGATAAAATTACATGTTAATCACAGCCTAAATGTGACATACAAACGACATACCAGCAATGCCTGCTAATGAAGTAATGTTCTGAGTCCACAATGTTCCTGTGTATGTGAGTTTATATTCAGTGAAAAAGCTATTGAATTTAAATTAAAGTTGTGGAGTTTAAAACTGCATATGGTCTCTTGGGTAGTTACCAGTATGTTATCAAACGGGCAACAGGAAGACTATTAATTTATTCACATTTACTCTAATGTTAAGAGCACAAATGAGCCAGAACTGCCCGATTCAAAATCCTTCCTTTAAAAAGATGCACACAACATGTGTTTGAGCATGTTTGTTGATTGACTGTTAATGGGTCAAGTTTATTTTAGTGAAAATAAAAATGTTCTAAAATTAGATTGTGATTGCACTGAGCCTTTGACTATCCTAAAGATAATTTGGTACACTTAAAGTGGGTGAATTGTGTGGTATGGGAACTATATTTCAATAAAACTTTAAAAAATCTACCTCTATCATTCAAATGGGAGTGTGGTAGCTCTGTAGGATGAACATGGGACTATGAACCACAAGGTTAGCAGTTCAAGTCCAGCAGCCTCTACCTGGGAAAAACGAATCTTTCTGCTCACAGAGATTTACAGCCTTAGAAACCCTATACAGGGTTGTTACGGGTCGGAACTGACTCAGTGGTACTTAGTAACAACCACCACCATTCACAAAAGAAGCCCTGAGGGAACAAATGGCTAAGCACTTATTTACTAACGAAAAGTTGGTTCAAACCCGCCAGTGGCTCTGCAGAAGAGAGATTACAGCCAAGAAAGGCCTATGGAGCAATTTACTCTGTCAACTTACTATGATAAACCTGCTGCCACGGAGTCAATTCTGACTTTTGGCAACTACAAATGGTACACAGCAATTCTACCCTAAGGTTTTCTTGACTCTGGTAGCGTAGTGATTACGAATTGGGCTGCTAACCTCAAGGTCGGCAGTTTGAAACTACCTGAACTGTTCCCCTGGAGAAAGATGAGGTGTTCTGCTCCCGTAAAGATTTACAGTCTCAGAAACCCTGTGCAGGGTCACTATGAGTCGGAACCGACTCCACAGTACTTAACAATCTTGACAGAAGCCAGTTGCCAAGCGTCCTGTGGCATTGCTTGGTGGGTTTGAACTGCCAACCTCTAGACTAGTAGTCAAAGCACACACACAAAATGCATCACAGGTCAGAACCAGTTAAAAAAATAACAAAAACTGATTCTCAAAGACTTCTGGGACAACTGAAATTAAAAGACTATATAGAATGTTCATGTTACTATATATATATATATATTCTTTTAAGTTTTTATTATGAATTGAATGATAGTTTACATGGGAGAACCTTGGTTTTACACTCATCGTTTCATTGTGATCATTACAATCTCTTCGTGCATCATCATTCAACAGTATTTGCTTTATTCCCTCTGGGTTTTTTTTGTTTTTTTGGGAGGTGGGGATGTACACAAAAACACTCAGGCATATATAATAATTTGCACCACCAAAGGGCACATTCTGCAAGTTTGCCTCCAGGCTGCCAGCTCTCAGTCCCTCTCTTTCCATGAATCTAAAGTACTCAGCTGCTCCCTCTCTCCATGTCCTCATCTCTGCTTCCATTTCTGGTGTCGCTGCTTCTCTGGATAGGGTCCCACATTCCACTTGTGCTCTTCTCCTTTGATGGTCCTAGGGTCCTTTGTTCCTGGACTGTAAGATTAACTACTCCCCTTTTTTTGTTACAAAACTTCAACCTTTACAGTTGTGACAGTTGCAATTAGACATGATAACAATTACTATTGAATCATAAGAATCTTATCCCCATCTCTTTTCACATGGTTATTATTTACAAAGAAATACAAAATTTAAAAATATCCACAGGGAACAAAAAAATGGAACAGATAAAATGCGAAGTTATTGAAAAGTTCAGCTAAAATGTTTAGAAATGAAAAATACAATAATCGTAAACCCGTCGATGAATGAATTTAAAAGCTGATTCTGTACCACTTCAGGGAGGATCAGTGAAGTGGAAGACAGGTCAAAGCCAACTGTTAGACATAAATTTAATAGCAGGACAAAATTAACCAGTTCCTCAAAAACAAAACTCACCTAATCAGAAGTAGATCATCTGAATGCTGTAAAAGACGTGGGATTTGTAATTAGGAAGCTTTCCAAAAGAAATCACTAAGCCCAAATGGGTTCACTGAAAAACTCTACCAAACATTGCAA